GGGGGTGATGATGCAAAACTATGACATCACTACAGCGTGATATCCAACATTACGATGACGATCCAGGCACCCTCGCGTACACGGGGACATCAGTAACTCTCCGTCTGAGCACGCTCAGTTACAGCGATGACATAAAACGGTGGAGTTACCGATGATGTTCTGGGCGTTTTAAAATTTCATTTTTCTAGATTTGACTGAAAAACTGTCACCGATACGTGACTCCCATCACGTCTGCCGACGGGCTGATGTCATCGGTGATCAGCTGATAACTCATGAATCCGCGGCTCTCTGGGCTGTGACGCGTTCAGCCCTGAGGTTTCTTCGCTCCGGTGTCGTCACAGGTCCGATTCCCTGACAAACCGCAGGCACGCTGATAAACTCGAACAGCGCGCGCTGTTGGGCCACTCTTCAGCCTTTGGCATGCGTCGCCCGATGATGCAGGACCATTAAAACTCAAAACCCACATATACGTAAACTCAAAACAGATGTTGGAGTGCACTTGGTGAATTGGCCGTTTGTTCTCTGTTGCAGCGAAGAACAGTGAGTCACAGACTCCTCACAGATTACTGAGCCTGAGTTTCTCAGCAGACGCAGCAGAAAGAGCAGCAGAAGCCTAACAGCAGACCATCGGCACATTTACGACCTCGTGTACAGCCACACATACGTCTGTCGGACATGCAGGTTTACGGAGCTCGACGTGTTTCTGACAGGCAGGATTTGCATCACACAGATTAAACACACACGATGCAGATTTCACACAAAGAAACAGCAAATTTACAGCGAATCAGAGCAGGAGCTGTTTCTGCAGCGGGACAGAAGCGAGTCAGGCTGCGGCGTGCAGACACGCTGCTCCACAGCAGCCGTGCTGGACGTCCCAGCAGCGCAGGTGAGTTCATGCTGCAAGCTTTACAGGAGGGAGGGGCGCAACGTCGCCGCCATCCTGACCGCACGGCATGAAGCCAGTGTTTCCCCCACTCATGTCCAGGTTTCACAGTACATGTGGTTGTTAATGCTCAGATCAGCTGATCTGAAGAACGCACACTGAGTCGGGATCTGAGTTTGTGATCCGGCTTCAGTAAACCTAACGACGTTCACCCTCGAGGGCCAACGGAGGAACTGTGACGAGTGCACGTGAAACAGGCGGAGTCCATCCTTTGGTTTGTGTTAGAGGTGGGGGGGGGGGGAAAGGATGGACTCCGCCTGTTTCACGTGCACTCGTCACAGTTCCTCCGTTGGCCCTCGAGGGTGAACGTCGTTAGGTTTACTGAAGCCGGATCACAAACTCAGATCCCGACTCAGTGTGCGTTCTTCAGATCAGCTGATCAGAGCATTAACAACCACATGTACTGTGAAACCTGGACATGAGTGGGGGAAACACTGGCTTCATGCCGTGCGGTCAGGATGGCGGCGACGTTGCGCCCCTCCCTCCTGTAAAGCTTGCAGCATGAACTCACCTGCGCTGCTGGGACGTCCAGCACGGCTGCTGTGGAGCAGCGTGTCTGCACGCCGCAGCCTGACTCGCTTCTGTCCCGCTGCAGAAACAGCTCCTGCTCTGATTCGCTGTAAATTTGCTGTTTCTTTGTGTGAAATCTGCATCGTGTGTGTTTAATCTGTGTGATGCAAATCCTGCCTGTCAGAAACACGTCGAGCTCCGTAAACCTGCATGTCCGACAGACGTATGTGTGGCTGTACACGAGGTCGTAAATGTGCCGATGGTCTGCTGTTAGGCTTCTGCTGCTCTTTCTGCTGCGTCTGCTGAGAAACTCAGGCTCAGTAATCTGTGAGGAGTCTGTGACTCACTGTTCTTCGCTGCAACAGAGAACAAACGGCCAATTCACCAAGTGCACTCCAACATCTGTTTTGAGTTTACGTATATGTGGGTTTTGAGTTTTAATGGTCCTGCATCATCGGGCGACGCATGCCAAAGGCTGAAGAGTGGCCCAACAGCGCGCGCTGTTCGAGTTTATCAGCGTGCCTGCGGTTTGTCAGGGAATCGGACCTGTGACAACACCGGAGCGAAGAAACCTCAGGGCTGAACGCGTCACAGCCCAGAGAGCCGCGGATTCATGAGTTATCAGCTGATCACCGATGACATCAGCCCGTCGGCAGACGTGATGGGAGTCACGTATCGGTGACAGTTTTTCAGTCAAATCTAGAAAAATGAAATTTTAAAACGCCCAGAACATCATCGGTAACTCCACCGTTTTATGTCATCGCTGTAACTGAGCGTGCTCAGACGGAGAGTTACTGATGTCCCCGTGTACGCGAGGGTGCCTGGATCGTCATCGTAATGTTGGATATCACGCTGTAGTGATGTCATAGTTTTGCATCATCACCCCCCACCCACCGAACTTCCAACCCTGACCCCGACTCGGACCTTGAGCGCCCAATATGTTAAAATTTTTTGCTGAGTGGACGTAAGCAGTTGCACAACTATAACATCACAGCAGTGTGACTGTTAGGGCTGCCACGATTAGTCGACTAGTCACGATTACGTCGACGACTAATTTAATAGTCGATGCTCGTTTGAAGCTTTGTAAGATCACAAAAGACGCAGGAATAAGTAGCAGGATTTAAGAGTGTAATAACGGACTGAAACAGAAGATGGCAGCACTGCGTGTACAAGGATGCCAGCTGCCGTTAAACCCCGAAGAAGAAGAAGCAGCTGTGTCCCAGAATTCATAGCGCAGCCCAGCTTAGTTTCCAACAATGGCGGCAGCTAGTTAGTTTTAATATTACTCTTATTATTCTTTCTGGGTCACAAAATAAACGTTTAACATATTTTCAGGCGAGAATGTAGCTGTGTAAACCTCAAATATCTGCTCAGTTTATCAAGACACCACATATTTTCAAAAGCGCTCCGACGTTTTCGGAGACGTCTGTTACCCACTAGCTCGATAGCTAGCCGGGGGCAGGCTCACTAGAGCCGTGAGAACACCGGACTCCCGGCTCCTTCAGAACCCCACCGCGTCTTTCACTACTCAGGTTAAACATATATAAAGTCACTTAGATAACTTAAAATGTTATTGTCAGTATTTTTTTCCTGAGTAAATCGGTTTGGCTGAGATTAAAGTTATAGTTTTTACACAGCTGAATAAACGTCAAGCAGACACTGATTATCAGAAGTGTGAGATGCTCGAGAATATACTCCGGTGTCCGTTATATTTTAGATAGCAAGGAGTTTATTAAACTTCACCGAAACAATCTGCAAATTTCATTAAAATTTAATAAACTATCATCTTGTCTTTATTTTTAGTTAGCACAGACCTTAAACACTTAAAGCTGTAAGCTAATGATAGTTATATAAGAGCAGATGCTGCTGGTGCAATAAGCTGTACATTTTACTTCCAATGAATGATGATCTGATTAGTCGACTAATCGCAAAAATAATCGGTGACTAGTCGACTATCAAAATAATCGTTTGTGGCAGCCCTAGTGACTGTGCACTTGAAACCTCGACAAACATGAATTGTGATGATCCACAAACCAACACTGGGACATCAGGTGCCTCGGACGCCCGCTGCTTCCTTCCTTCAGTACAAGGAAAGCTTGAATGAGCAGTGATAACCTGCTTTCAGCACTGACCTGTGTCTGAGTTTCTCCTGGTTCTGCGTTTTGTTCTTTGTATAAAAGTGAAACGAGTCGCGCCTCAGACAGCGACAGTAAGCTCCTCCCTTTCTGAGTGTTGGAGGCTTCGGCAGAGCTGACAGGCTTTCGCGACACGTTCGAGGAAACGTTTCACCGAGTTAAATATTTCCAGCTCGTCTGCGTTTGTTTGGTTCCCGTAGCAGCCACACTGGGATGGTTCTGAAAGCGTGACGATACGATCGGTGCGCTCGTCTGGAGGTGTTTCTGTTCTAAACTCAAAGGTGTGGTGTACATGACGTCTGCTCTGCTGCTCTGACCCTCACCCGGCTGAACCTCACAGCTGTTGGATTTGTTTACCCCGATCTTGTATATGAGCTTCATTCTGTTTGCTCCCCAGTAAACAATCAGCGTCCCTGCTTTTCACTCAGAATCAATGATAGAGAGTCACACAGACAAACACAAGGGGGTGTCCAACTGCAGGCCTCGAGGGTGTCCTGCAGGTTTCAGACGTGTCCTCGATCCAACACAGCTCAGTTAACCTCATCTCTAGAGGCTGGTAATGAACTGATCATGTGACTCTGGTGTGCTGACCCAGGCTGAGAACTAAAACCTGCAGGACCCCGGCCCTCGAGGCCCCTGCTGTAGACAAAGAGCCAGATTTACTAAAGACTGCTTCAGCTTTAAAAAGTACTTTTGTGATTTACAAACGAGTGTCGGTGGCGTTTGTTACACAAAGGTCTGGGTACAGTTAATTAATTGTTCCACTTGATTTAGAGCATTTAAACCACACAAAGGTGCCTCGTGAAGGTTTCCATCAGGCTGCACCATCACAGCGTCACGGCGTGCTGCGCTGGCTGTAATCTGTGATTTTTCAGTCTGTTTGTTGGCCACAGTTGGCTGTGAGTCAGATTCCTTCCTCTGACTTTAATAAATCCCTGCGGCCTCATGCAGCACGGAGAGAACAATGACAGCGTGCACGCTCATGCACGTAGCGCTCTAACGTCATTAACACACGTGGGTCTGACAGTAATGCTCAGTGTTCTTCTTCTGCACATCCTGCGGGATGGCTGCCTGCTGCCCAGCCTCAGAGACCCCACCAGTTTCCATCAGTTTGCCCTGATGATAAAATCATTGATTCTCTCAGAGCTGCCTCCATGATCCTAACAGGCGGCGGTTTCCAAAGAGGCAGAGACGAGTTAACGCTGCCCTGTGTTTGTGTGACCTCATCAGACCTTCTTCATATTACAACCCAAACCTTTGCTCTCCCTCTGTAGCATCTTCATGGTTGCAGCCTGCGTGAAGTAAATCTGGCCCTGTAGCTTTAAGATAAGAGCCGGTGAAGCTCATCAGGACAATAAGATCACATAATCCAGTTTTACTCTGCTTTATCTACATTCTGCTCTCTTCTGCAGGTACCTGCACTTCAACAACATCGAGTCCTTGGAACCAGAGTCCTTCACTCATCTACCAAAGCTGGAGCGACTGTAAGTTCATCCTGCCTGAGCGTTCACCAAAAGCTTTTCCGAACGGTAATTTTAAGATCCGTGGAATAATAGAGCCACCGGTGCGACTGGATTTACTGTGACAGTTGATAGAAACCAGAAAGCAATAACTAGCATGATGTAGTTGGCGGGGAATGGAAGGAATGGCTTGGAAACAAAGAACGGAGAGGCTCGCGGAGCCCAGATCTGAATTTGAAGCAGACGGTACATGCCAGGAAGCGCTCGAACATCCTTCAGCTGAAGGAATGTGGACTGGAAGAGCGCTCAGACATTTCACTGATGTCAGAGGCTGCAGGACGGTTTCTGAGGAACGGCTGCAGGAAGTCGTGCAGGGTTGGTAGCACCGTCGCTCCCTGCATGTGTGTGCTGCAGGGTGTGCAGGGCTGTGTGCTAAGCCCCTCCCCCTCCACACACACACGGTTTCAGGACCTCAACTTTGGCTTTCACTATTTCTTCAGCAGTTTTGAGACAAATCAAGTGTGATTATTTTTGCCTGACCAGTTTTGACCATCAGTATTATGGGATACATCCCAGTTTAACTATCCTGCAGCAGTGCACTGCCTGTGCTGTGCACACTGTAAGCACCTCCTTGCAGTGTAAACGCGGCGCGCACAGACGTGTGCCGACTTTCAGGCGTGACGAGCGATCGGCAGCAGGTGTCCTGATCTCTTTCACTGTTTATGAGCCAGCAGGGTTTCCACTCCTCCCAGTCTCCTGAGTAAAGGAGAGGAAGGACACCTGCTGCACGGGGAAAACACCTGAGGGTGGAACTCCCAGGCGCACACTCCGGTCATGGTTGGGAAATTTCTCTGCGGTCAAAGCATCGAGAGAGAGATGGAGAGCAGGATGGCGTTCCTGAGGGCGGGATGGAAAATTAATGTCATTTTGTGGTATTAAAAATGTGTTTGGCCCGAGACTCGTGTACACAGGAAAATGTTTTCATGCCTGCGTTTTAGCCAGCGCGAGTCATCATCTGGGAAAACGATCATATTTCTTCTCCCATCCCAAAAGATGCTATTAAAGGCAAATATGTCCTGTTATTAGTCGAGCAGATCGATTTTGGGACTGTGTGATCCCTCAGAGTGTTTCCTCACTGAAACGACAGATTCCTGCTTGACGACTGTGATGTTTTTCTGCCTCTCTCAGGTTTCTGCACAACAACAGGATCACCCAGCTGGTGCCGGGAACTTTCTCTCATCTTCAGGCCATGAAGCGACTGTAAGTGGAAAAGACAAGCTCACAAACACATGCGAGACTCTGTGCTCACTATCAGACAGGCGTGTTTATCGGTTAGATGCCATGAAACCGCAGCGCGCTGTTCTCACGCTCGCCTGCAGCGCTCGGCCCTCCCACAGCTTTTCCTCCCGTTGAGCTGCAGCAGATCTGAGTCCATCTGAGACGTCGCTCATATAAATGACTCCATTTAAGAGAATACGAAGTCTTTAGAGTTTGTGCTTTTCTTTATTTTCTGTCGTGTCTCTCCGGCTCACGAGTAAGTGTTCATAATAAACACGTTTCTGTGAATCCTCCTGAGCCACAGGATCTACATGATGTCATTAGGAACAGACATGCTTACGTGGTCGCACAGCCCCGCCTACCGCTCTGCATATTTTCCTGGGTAATAACGATGTCATCGCAGCATGTTTGTGTGTCTCAGAGGACTCTGATTACCAAACAGAGACTTCCTGTTTGCTTTAGTTACCAAACAGCCTGCAGCTCTTTGATTCCAGAAGTCACGTTGTGCCGCACGCCGTTTACAGCGCTGCCGCCATGTTGCTTTTGTGGAGCCAGAGGTGACCAGATGATGCAAGCAGACATGTATCTGTGTCCAAACAGTGAAACTGGAGCTGCTGTTAGTACAGCAGCGATGTTATTGGTCACATGACATCGTTAAAATGCTCCAACAGCACAGACACTGCTCAGAGGTCCTGTTAGCAAACAGCGAGCTGCTGCCACCTGTGTCACCAACCACCTGTCAGTCAAAGAGGCCACGCCCCCAGTTTGCAAACTTTAAGCCTTATTAAAATTTAAGCAGACTGACTCACTGCTGGAGCCCCTGCTGGATGCTAGAGGTACTGCAGCTGGCTCAGACATGAGCGGAGGAGTTTGGGTCTCAGTAATCATGATGCTGATGTAGAGCAAATAAACATACAGAGCTATGAGCAGGTGGAGGAGGCTCCACAACAATAACCAGGTTTCCTTTATTACTTATAAATGAGCTTCGGTCATTTGTGAAGTTTTAGATTCAAATAAATATTCGAGAGCCTCGTCCCTGAAAAACCTGTGCTCACGTCAGGAAGGTGGCGTGTCCAGTGTGAGGGAGGGTTTACTGCTTATCCAGACTGCGGGCTCCATCTATCCACACATGCCCACTTGTCTCTGTGTTTCTGTGTGTGCAGGCGACTGGATTCCAACTCCTTGAACTGTGACTGCGAGCTGCTTTGGCTGGCCGACCTGCTGAAGCAGTACGCCGAGTCGGGCAACGCTCAGGCTGCTGCCACCTGCGACTACCCGAGCCGCCTGCAGGGCAGATCGGTGGCGACGCTCACCGCTGAGGAGCTCAACTGCGGTACTGAGAACAGTTACAGAATGAGTTATAGAAACAGTCTCCCCCCATCACTGGCTATAAAGTGTAGAAGTTACAGCTGTTTAACAGCAGCTGGATGTGCAGCTTTCATTCCTGGTTTCCTGAACGTCTCCTCTCATCTCTGCTGGCCAAAGGAAGCAGAAAGCTTCAAGACTTTGGAGCCTAACAGGAAGCACGTCGTGAAGTCATGCGTTACACACATCCACTTATTTTTATAGCCAAACTCTGCAAACTCTCAGACAGCCCCCCCAGCCCCCCTCCCTGCAGGTAAGCTGAGACACACACAGGTGTATCCTCTCTTTGTGTCTGCAGCCCCCACTTCCATCCTTCACACACCACAAACAGTCTGAGGGCGAAGGGAGCTCAACGTGTCTGTGGGCCCTGCGTCAGACCACCAGCAGCTGCTGAGATGGGCTGGCTGATAGCTGTGTGTGTGTGTGTGCGTGCGTGTGTGTGTGTGCGCGTGTGTGCGTGTGTGCTGTGTGTGTGTGTGTGTGTGTGTGTGGTGTGTGGGGGGGGGTGTGTGTGTGTTTGTGTGAGGATGGAGGCCCACAGGAGGCCTTTGTCCTCATTGTGAGACACTTTAGTTTGAGAAGTGTTTAGTCTGGTGTGAAACCGTCATGTTAGTATTTTGCTTGTTTTTCTCATCAGTCGACACAAAAATTCATATTTTATTTAAAGTTGTTTCATCAGTTAACAAGTGAACTCTGTAAAGTTTCATTTCTGTGCAGCTGAGTGCCGTAAAACAAAAGAGAAGAAGAAAATCTGTTGAGCTCTGTCACAGAGAGGCTGCTTCAGCTCAGGTTGAACTGCTTTTCCTCGCTCGTCTGTGTCCTGATGTTCACCCGGTTTTATGAGCAGCTGTAAATCCCGCCGTCTCAGTTCTGCGTTTCCTGCGGCCATGGCTGCACGCTGAGCTGGCTGGCAGCTGCTTGTGTCTCCGCCACATTTAAACCTCAGCAGCTAATTCGATGGCCCCCAAACGTGCCCGGGCCTGCTCGGCGTGGCCCTGTCTGGAATGTCTGCCTGAAAACGCGGTGGAAGCCTTTCCACGCCCTCCTCCCCCCCTGCACGGTGGGTGGAGGAGCTGTCAAAACAAAGCAGTGGCTGGAGGTGAAGTGCCATCTCCTCACACAAGCTGTTTCTGGTGGGGACACTCGCCTCCTGTTGGTGGAGATAAACAGGAGGGCGGTGTGAAGTGTGTGGAGGAGGGTTTCCAAAATAGTCTCCTTTATGACTTAAATAATGACCAAAATTGACGAAATGAATCCCCAAAACCAGCATATCTGTAACCATGAGGGTCGCCCCCTGGTGGTCTGTAAATAAAGTGCAGCTTTAAGGAACCTGGCTTCACTTTTCAGATCTGGACGTTCATATATCATCCCGCTTGTGTTTGGGAGCTTTGTGTCTGTTTGTGCTTCAAACTCAGCACAAAGTCTCCTACCAACCAAAAAACAGGAAAAAATGAGGCCCTAATATTGAACCCTGGGGGACTCCTCCACTGGTCTCCATGTGCAGCTGCTGAACGAGTCATTCTCCGCTCTGTGGGTCAGAATGACGATGATCTTTGAACAAAAAGCCTCATGAAGTTTGCATCGTCCCTGTCCGACCTCCCTCTGGATCTGGATTTTAGCCCTGATATTATTGAGCAGGTTCAAAAAGACGAGACAGACTCAGCAGAAGCTCGATTCAGTAGTCTAAGAAATACATATGAAGAGACGTGTGATGCTGTGTGCTTGCTTATACATTACATCGGTTTTCTGTCTGATCTTCTCCTGCAGAGGTTCCCAGAATCACGTCGGAGCCTCACGATGTGGACGTGACGTCGGGAAACACCGTCTACTTCACCTGTAGAGCCGAAGGCAACCCTAAACCACAGATTATCTGGCTCAGGAACAAGTAAGGCTAACGGGTGGGTGGGTTAACATCAAAACGCATCACACGCATTTACGAGCTCTGGTTTTTATCGGTGCGTCTTCCTCGTAGCAATGCGCTAAACATGCGCGACGACAGCCGTCTGAACCTGCTGGAGGACGGGACGCTGATGATCCAGAACACCAGGGAGACGGATCAGGGAGTGTACCAGTGCATGGCCAAAAATGTGGCCGGAGAGGTCAAAACGTCCGAGGTCACGCTGCGATACTTTGGAGCTCCGTGTAAGTGTGCGCTCCCGAGCCCGTTCACTGTGACAGCCATAAAATACACGATATCCCACTGAGACGTTTAAAGACGGTGTTTGCACCAAGAGTTCCGAGGTCAGCAGGTCAGGTGTTACAGAGACATTCACAGCTACAAACTCAGCCACACATACAGTCTGATTTCATTAAGTTTCATTACTTATTACTAGTTACTTCCTGTCAACGCTCCAGACTAATTAAAGTTACTGTGGTTACCTGTTTGCGTATCATCTTCACACTGATGTCAGTGAAATGTAGGTGCCATGTTTTTTATGCACTCTATGCAGCTAAAGCTGTGGATGCAATGCATTATGGGATGCAGTCCTGTTTGCCTTTTTTCATTTCTGTTTATTCTTTCATGCATTTTATGGTCATGATTGATGTTGAGGCTGGTTTCTAAACGCTTTATGAAACATCAGTGAGTTTCACATCTGGTTACCAGAAGAATCAAAGATATCGTTTCACTTTTATCCCAGAACCAGTGTGAAAAACTTCAGTGCACTTCTGTATATGTGAGAGGCTTTTATTGTGAAAAGAAGCAAAAGGAAGAAGCCGTGTGTAGAATAACCAGGTTTCCTGTATGGATGTGGCAGCAACAGCAAGTCTGGAGTTCATGGCTGACTTATTTAACCTGCATCAGATTATTTGTCATGTTTCCATGACAACTGAAACTACAGCTAGCTAAACTGGTATTAAAGTTGCAAAGCTTTGGGAAAAGGCTGAAACCACATGAATGAGCTAAAATCTGAGCTGAAGGTCAAGGCCAGCCTCTGGGAGCAGATGTTGTGCATTTCCTGTCTCTGTGTGGCTGTAAACCTCAGGTCCCCGGCTGTGTACACACTGCTCTGACTCCACTGTAATCACTGCCAAATAAGGACAGGGCACAACTGCGTGCCGTGACAAACGGAGATGGTTTCAGAGTGGCATCATCGATCCCAGCACGAGCTGCTGCTTCACATCTTCAGATCTTTATTTTAGAAAAAGTGAGGTCACCACCGTTCCCATGTCTGCTCCTCCAGCACGGCCCAGTTTTGTGATCCAGCCCCAGAACACGGAGGTCCTGGTGGGGGAGAGCGTGACCCTGGAGTGCAGCGCCACGGGCCAGCCGCAGCCTCGGGTGTCCTGGACGAAGGGTGACCGGACGCCCCTGCCCAACGACGCCCGCATCACCATCACCCCCTCCGGAGGGCTCTACATCCAGAACGTGGAGCAGGCTGATGGAGGACAGTACACGTGCTTCGCCTCCAATAATGTTGATACCATACACGCTACGGCGCACATCATCGTACAAGGTAAATCAGAAGATCGATGAAAGGTGTGGGTGCTGTGTGCCTTTGTTGACCAATTAAAACATCATTTCCTGCTCTGCCTGTAGCGATCCCTCAGTTCACCGTCACGCCGCAGGACCAGCTAGCCCTGGAAGGCCACACGGTGGATTTCCCCTGCGAGGCGACCGGCTATCCTCAGCCGGTGATCGCCTGGACTCGAGGGGGCAGCCCGTTACCCTCGGACCGCCGTCACGTGACCCTGCCCTCCGGCACGCTGCGCATCACTCGGGTGGCAGCCCACGATGAGGGCCAGTACGAGTGCCAGGCGGTCAGCCCCGTGGGCACCACGCGCACCGCCGTGCAGCTCAGCATCCAGCAGAGAGGTGAGGAGGGGGGCGGAGCTTTAGGCTCTAAGAGCAGGTGGTGCATAGATGAAATATGGCTGCCAATCACAGGCTGTTTGTTTGTGTAGGTGGAGGGGAGGGTGGGAGTGGGAGTGGTGTGCAGCGTTTAAGTCACAGCTCATTGGAAGGTGTGTGTGTGTGTGTGTGTGTGCGTGTTCTGCAATGACAGGCCTGGCGTGGCACAGGAAAACACGGCAGCCTGTAATCCTGAGGTGACGCCATGTTTTTCCATGTTGTAATGCCTGTTAACACGCTGCAAAGTACCAGTTGCGTAATGGTTGCACACTGGAGCACTGTGTGAGCCCACAGCTGTTTCATGGAGAAGCCGACGTAGCGAGCGCGAAGTGACACGAGCGCGAATCATGAAAGCAACGGGAAAGTCCAAGTTTATCCCGTAGGATCAAGCCGTGTACAGTTTTTAAACACGTTTTAAAACACATTCGTGTTTTATTAGAATTAAGAATATCTGTTTGCAAAAATATATATTATAAATATAAAACATGAATATTGGAAAAGACCTGCAGTACTGTCAACGACCACCGGGGGAATGCCTGCAGAGGTGACCTGTAAAAATTAGACAACCTCAAATTCAGCCGTTAGCAGCACGCCGGCGAGTGTGGGTCGGGTGAACACGCACAGAGAGAGTTCTTCATCCTCAGGCACAAAGACTTTCAGGTGTTTAGATGTCGATGAGTCTTTGTGTTTGTGCTGCTCGCTCTGCACAGGAACCGCAGGGGGCGGGGTCAAGACTCTGACAGTGACGCAAGGGTTCAATCAGAAATCTGTTTGTATTTATGTAATATGACTGTCTGTGTGTGTGTGTGTGTGTGTGTGTGTGTGTGTGTGTGTTCTGTCTTGCTCTGAGCTTCACATTAAGCTGATTGATGCTCCTGTGTGTGAGCAGAGGGAAGCAGCAGCTCTGGTGAAGCACAAACACTGCGACAGTAAAATGTTTGATGTCGGCTGTGATAGATTACAAAATGCACTTCACATGTGGACCCTTTGCTGCCCGCTCATTAACTTGTGTGTGTGTGTGTGTGTGTGTGTTACTCATTCAGTGACGCCTGTTTTCACGAATGCCCCGAGGGACCTGACGGTGGAGTCCGGGCAGGACGTGCAGATTCCCTGCAGCGCTCAGGGCCAGCCGCAGCCGGTCCTCACCTGGAACAAGGTGAGTGGGTAAAGAGGCGACCTCAGTGCAGGTGCAGAGGTCAGGAGGTCAGGTCAATCAGACCGAGAGGGTCCTAACGCTCAAACCAGACGCCGAGAGCTTTTGTAAAACTCAGACATCTGTGTCCTTACACATGCATGCACCGAGGGCTTAGTTCAGGCACCAGCTCTCAGCACCGTGACCTCTGACCTCTGTCTGTCTCTCAGGATGGTGTTCAGGTGACAGAAAGTGGAAAGTTCCACATCAGCCCCGATGGTTACCTGGAAGTGAAGGACGTGGGCACGGCTGATGCTGGACGCTACGAGTGTGTCGCACGCAACCCCATCGGCTACCAGGTGGCTAGCATGGTGCTAACTGTGACAGGTAAGCAGTGATATCAGAGCGCCGCCGGGACCAAAGGTCTGTGGCGCTGCTCGGTGTGTGTGATCTGCTGCTCGGCCGATGTAGCCGCGCTGTCGGGTCTCGGAGTGTGTTGCTGTTTCCTGCTGAGACTCTTGGAGGTCAGCGCTCTGCAACCGAACCTTAAACTGCATCAGCTGCTGGATGTTTTCAGTGGCACACGAAGACAAAGGAGCGCCAGAAATCACTCAGGAGGGAAGAGCTCACAGGATTTCAGTGAAATAAAGAACACCGGTGAACTGGAGCTGTTTACGGCCGTTACTTAAATGTATGAAAGATGAACACGACTTCCTGTTGGGTTTAGACCGCCGTCTGCCTCACGGCCTTACTCGGATATACCTCCGTACTTTTATTTTGTGGCTCTACTGGAGCAGCTCTGCACGATTCATTGTTTGTATCTCATAACAGGCCTTTGTGCAACTTTGTGCATCACTGTGGGGGAGGTGGGCGGGGCTTGTGTTAGGGATGACACCGACCTCTTTATTAAAAACTCTGGTTCTGTTTGAGATGTAAACCCAGGCCGAGCTCTGCTCGTGCTTGCTGATGTTCCACCTGTGTGTCTCTACAGTGCCCGCCATCAGCAGGGAGGGCGACACCTTCGTCAGCACGTCCATAGAGCAGGCCATCCGTACTGTGGACAGCGCCATCGAGTCGACGAGGAGGCGTCTCTTTGACGGGTAGGATATGACAAACACGCGATATGAGACTCTGACCCTCACGACGACCTCGAGGATAAAAACCTGGAAGGCTCTGAAGTGTCTCCATTTTCCTACGCCACCACGTGTGTCCCTCTTCCCTGAGCCTGATCTTCATCTTGTCGTTATTGCTGCAGTGCATCATGGGATTGAGTGTAATGGAGAGACGTATGATGGGTCAGGATGAGAACATGTGTACCGGTGAGGTGTCCTGGGGTCATGTGACCAGGTTAGGAAGTCCTGCTCGCCAACAGCGCTGGCGTTGACGGCGGCGGTGTGATCGTGGCTGCAGCACCTCGCTGAGTTTCAACAGCCCGAGGCTCAGTGCAAGTTTAGAATAGCTGTGCTGAAAACCACCGAGCTGATGTTTGGGAGGAAGCAGGAACGACAAAGAGTGAAATGATGGCGGCGACTCAGCTGCGCAGTGACTCAGACGCTGCTGCGTGTTTAAACTCTCCGACCTGCACTGGAGAAATTCCCGCCTGATGTTCTAGTCCTCGAGCTCTAACGGAAAATCCCCAAAGACCGGAGCGATCTTTCCTCCTGCTTTTGTTTAACCTGTCTTTGTCTCTTACTTCCACACTTACTGTCTCTGTGATCTGTCATATTTATTGTTCCCTCTCCTCCCTCGCCCTGCAGTCAGCCTCGCACCCCCGGGGAGTTGCTGGCTCTCTTCCGGTATCCGCGGGACCCCTACACCGTGGAGCAGGCGCGGGCCGGAGAGATCTTCGAGCAGACGCTGCTGCTCATCCAGAACCACGTCAACCAGGGTCTCATGGTGGACACCAACGGCACCGGTGAGCAGATTCAGACTCGACACGCTGCTGAAAATGCAAAACCACACCCTCGTGAACACTGAGCGCGCTCGCTGATCGGTTTAAACTGATCGGTCATCTCTGCTGTGCTGATATTTTGGGCACATATGCAGTTTCAGACTTTGCAGAATGAAGCTGCTATTCAGTAAACAGCTTCCACACAGTTTCCTGAGTGGAGTCTTGTGGTGCCAATAATTTAATTCTGTCTATGAATCTCTCGTTGCTGTGCACGCCTCCATCCGTGCGCCATTTTCTCCTCAGCGACAGCCGAGGGACGGACACGTGACGAGGAGCCGTAAACACTTTTATTAGTCCTCGGTTGGCCGCAGCGCCTCACCTACGTGGTTTGTGTTCACACTGGGTCAATTATACCTGCGCGTGGGGGGAGCACGGGGGGATTTGGATGTTTGTGTGCAAAAGCATGTGGGGGGGTTGTTTTAGTTTCTGGCTCATGAAGCAGTCGTTGTTCTGGGGGGTTAATTTTAACAGCACGAAGGTCAGCTGATCTACATTTCACCATCAGTGTGACGGGAAATCGAGTTTTTCTTAGTTTTGAAATTAAATTTCTGGCTTTAATTCTCCTGAATCTGCAAGTTCTTCTAAAAAGTTTTGTTCATTTTTTTGTCATATTGAAATGTGTCAGTGTTTCCCTCATAAATCTGCAGTTTTCTATTTGCAAAATTTTTATTTTAGTTAATTTTTTCACCATTTTTTCACTTCCTGTTTTTGCTCTTTGGGATATTTTCATCCTTGAAATGATAACAAAGGCTGAGTGTAGTTGACGCCTCATGTGGTGTAAATGTAGTGAGACCAATAGTGACAGTTTCAGGTTCACGGGGAAACGCAGGAACAGCGATGAACACAACAGACGGCGAGTTTGAACAAACGTTCGTGGAGGGAAACGCCGGCTCCCACGTTCTCCTTTTAACTCCCCAGTAAACAAACACGCAGCAGTGATGTGTGGGAACGTTCACACAGGAAGTCTCACCTCACACACGCTTGACACTTGCTGTCATGCATAAGTGCAACGCTGCACTGCTAACACACCTGAATGTGCTGTGCTCTCATTTCAAAGCTGATGGAGGGCGCCCTGTGGCCTCTGTGGGAGGGGCTCCAGGGCCTGATCCTGTGGATTACCTGATGAATGTGAGCAGGTCTCTAACCCGCGGCGTCTCCAGGAGGCGCTGTGGGCTGAAGCTGGGAGTGATAGACTGTATATAAAAGATGGCCATATCCACCGTGACATCTTAGGCTTTGGTTTGGGAGGTGTTGGCGTTAACAGAGGGGGCGGGGCCGAGTGTAATAGCCGGGCTGCTATGATTACTCTGTGATGGACGTCTAAGCGTGTGTTTCCTTTCCGCAGCGTTTCGCTACAACGACCTTGTGTCCCCCCGCTTCCTGGACATGATCGCCAACCTGTCCGGCTGCACAGCCCACCGCCGCATCAACAACTGCTCGGACATTTGTTTCCACCAGAAGTACCGCAGCCACGACGGCACCTGCAACAACCTGCAGCACCCGATGTGGGGCGCCTCGCTCACCGCCTTCGAGCGGCTGCTGAAGTCCGTCTACGATAACGGTTTCAACCTTCCACGAGGCGCCACCGACCGCGTCCATAACGGCTACAAACTGCCGCTGCCGAGGCTGGTGTCCACCACCATGATCGGATCAGAGACCATCACCCCCGACGACCGCTACACGCACATGCTGATGCAGTGGGGTCAGTTCCTGGACCACGACCTGGACTCCACGGTGGTGGCTCTGAGCCAGTCCCGGTTCTCCGACGGCCAGCTGTGCGCTCAGGTGTGCACCAACGACCCGCCCTGCTTCCCCATCCAGTTCCCGCCCAACGACCAGCGGCAGCTGCGGAGCGGCGCCCGCTGCATGTTCTTCGTCCGGTCCAGCCCGGTGTGCGGCAGCGGGATGACGTCTCTGCTGATGAACAGCGTTTACCCGAGAGAGCAAATCAACCAGCTGACCTCCTACATCGACGCCTCCAACGTCTACGGCAGCTCGCGGCACGAATCGGAGGAAGTCCGCGACTTGGCGAGCCAGAGGGGTCTCCTGCGGCAGGGCATCATACAGCGGACGGGCAAGCCGCTCCTGCCGTTCGCCAGCGGGCCGCCAACCGAGTGCATGAGGGACGAGAACGAGAGTCCCATTCCGTGCTTCCTCGCCGGAGACCACCGAGCCAACGAGCAGCTGGGTTTGACCGCCATGCACACCGCGTGGTTCAGGGAGCACAACCGCATCGCTACAGAGCTGCTGAGGCTGAACCCCCACTGGGACGGGGACACCATCTACCACGAGGCCCGGAAGATCGTCGGCGCCCAGATGCAGCACATCACCTACAGCCACTGGCTGCCCAAGGTAACGGCTCCGAGCTGATGGCGCCCGCGCTGCTCAGCTGATCATCAGGTGAGCTCAGGGTTAGCATGAGTGTGACAGCCCGGGACACAGAGAGAGGGAGGGGCTCACTTCATTCAGCTGTTTAATGTAAAAGTTGAAGCCAATGAAACGCTTCTCTGATGATGTCACAGCAGGCAGACTAACCCTCCTCTTCTCTCAGATCTTAGGTGAGGTTGGCATGAAGATGATGGGGCCGTACGGGGGCTACGACCCCAACGTGAACGCCGGCGTCTTCAACGCGTTTGCCACCGCCGCGTTCCGCTTTGGCCACACCCTCATCAACCCGATCCTGTACAGGTTAGATGAGGACTTCCAGCCGATCCCGCAGGGCCACATCTCGCTGCACCGGGCCTTCTTCTCGCCGTTCCGCATCGTGAACGAGGGCGGCATCGACCCGCTGCTTCGCGGGCTCTTCGGCGTCGCCGGTAAAATGCGTGTCACCACGCAGCTTCTGAACACCGAGCTGACGGAGCGGTTGTTCTCCATGGCCCACGCCGTGGCTCTGGACCTGGCCGCCATGAATGTACAGCGAGGGAGGGACCACGGCATCCCGCCGTATAACGACTACAGGACCTTCTGTAACCTGACGTCTGCTCGGACCTTTGATGACCTGAAGAACGAGATTAAGAATCCGTCGGTCAGAGAGAAGCTGCAGAGGTGGGCGTGGCCTCAGACAGGCTCAGTGTGACTCGCCAGAGTTATGTTATGAGCTCAGCGTGTTTCTATTTCCTCGTGTTGCAGGCTGTACGGCACGCCTCTGAACATCGACCTGTTCCCCGCCCTCATGGCTGAAGATCTGGTCCCCGGCAGCAGGCTGGGCCCCACCCTCATGTGTCTCCTCACCACTCAGTTCAAACGCGTGCGTGACGGCGACAGGTAGGTCAACCTTTCAGTACCAAACTGTCGCCGAGAGTCACGTGACCGCAACAGATGAATCCTATTTCTCTCCTTCCTGCCGTGTTCAGGTTCTGGTACGAGAACCCCGGCGTGTTCACGCCTGCCCAGCTGACCCAGCTGAAGCAGGCGTCCCTCGCCCGGGTGCTGTGCGATAACGGCGACAACATCACGCGCGTACAGCGCGACGTGTTCAGGGTGGCCGAGCTGCCTCACGGCTACATCAGCTGTGACGACGTCCCTCAGATCGACCTGCGCATGTGGCAGGACTGCTGCGAAGGTAAGAGTCAGCAAACGCTCGCCTTATTCTTCAGTTTACTCGACAGCTCAGATCACGACGACCAGGATACCTTAGCAGACGTTTGTTGTTTTCAAAACACAAACATTTATTTTAAGCTTGAATAAATTAAACTCCACTGAATAAATCACTGGTTGAATATTAGCATTCGAGTGTATCCCAGATGTGTTGAACAGCTGCAGCCCTGAGCAAGCGCAGAACAACAAATAGAACAGCCTGCAGACCCGTGAGGGCGAGAGGAGCTTTCAGGACGTTGTTTGGTTTTGGTTGTTTTTCTGATCTTCGCTGAGACAAAGTGGCTCTGTGGTCACAGAGGTCGCTGTCTCTGCTTCAACCTTTTAAAGTTTATTTTTGGCCCGTAGTGTGAATTTGTTGCACAAATCTGATCCCAGTTTTATTATTTTATACTTGTGCATGAAAACAAACCTCCATTATTAAAAAGAGGCTTTTATTGTGGTTGGAGTGATCTCAGTGTTTGATGTAAAGGTTTAGTCAGGAGTTTAATCACAGGATGGAAACATGTTTTCTTCTTTAAAGAGGAAGCAGACGCTGGTGATGAGTCTGCTCTCTGACTGCAGCCTCTTACATACTGCACATATTCACTGTATGAGGAGAGCAGAAACAATAAACAGAGAATATAGCTGCATTTGCTAACAGTGACACGTGTGTGTTCGCTTTTATGTGTCGGCACAAGAGAGGAAGTGTTGTTGTTCTCATCTTCTACACGCAGTCTGTGAATCAACCGCAGCTGAGATTTGAGCGTTTACATAAAGACGCGGCGCTCGTAAACCTGGAAGCTGCGTCACTGTGACAGTGGAGAAGGGTTTGTCAGTTTTTTCATCCTCCAGGATGACAAAAGCGGGATCGTTAGGGGGGTCGCGGTCGTCTCCCTCACAGCTCGATAAATGGGTGAGTCGTCTGCATAGCAGAGAGTCTAAAGGAGCCGATACAGTGCAAGACGAAGCACGTCAGAGAAGATTTAAACAACTCGCGCTAAGAGATGAGGGTACCATGTGCTCCTGTGGTTGATTCCAGCACTTCAGCCTAAAAGCACTGCAGTCAGGTCATAAACGGTCCTTCTGTTGGCCTCAGCGACTCTGTTTTCTTCTTCTACTGATTTTCAGTGTGTTGTGTTTAACCCACCAGACTGCAGAACTAAGGGCCAGTTCAACGCCCTGTCGTACCACTTCAGGGGACGCCGGTCAGCTGAGCACAGCTACAAAGAGTACAAACCTGCCAGCAGCTCCCAGGAGAACAGGTAACAACACCTGTAAACTTAAACTGCTCCAACAGCACAGACGTTGTCCAGAGGTCCAGTTCAGGGACTCTGGTTACCCGAGTCCAGCAGACAGCTAGCAGGGCACGCCCGTAATCATGCAAACCTTCAGGAAGTATCCATGGAGACCAACCAGTTTGTGTATCAGGCTGTAAACATGTTTATATGTGCTGTAAAGTTTGAACATGGCTGACTCACTGCTGCCTCCTGTGTAATCTTACAGCGTTCCCTCGGTGTCAGCGGTCCTGGAGCGTGGGAAAGTCTGGCATCAATTTTTAGGCCAGAAAATTCTTGTTTTACAGCAAAAATAAAAACACTTGTAGGCCTCAGAAACCTGCGACATACACTTACAGATGTGTGAGTCAGGTGACCTGCGATGTGGCGAGGAATGCTGTCCTGACAATACCTCGATAACAGATATTTGAGGTGTAGAATAAGTAAAACACTCATTTGTGCATCTTTGTCCTGTAAACTGTTAACTGTGAACATCTTCAGTCATTTGGTTTGTGTGTGTGTGTGTACAGCTCAGTGGAGGAGACCCCGGGCAGTCTGGGAAATGTCTCTGCGACTTCCAGGAAGAGCACTGAGCCCTCCATCAACGACTTCCAGGATTTTGTCTCCGACATGCAGAAGACCATCACCAGCTTACGAAAGCAGGTGTGTCTGCATCCACAGACAGATGTTTGCAGCTGTTCTTTATCCTTTAAATCCAGATGGTGACGTTTGTGATCAAAGTGTCTGAAACTTCTAACCATCTTAAAAACGTTGCTATGTCTCACTGCTCAGAGCACAGTTAATTCCTCAAGAAGGGATCGGCGTGCCGAGGTCGGTGTGCTGGCTCCGCCCTCTGGTCAGCTGCAGGTGTCAGTGTGTTTGGGGAGGTGAGGTGTGTGTTCTGACTTTTAAAATGTGTTGTTCTCATGTTTCTGCAGATTAAAAGACTTGAAGCCCGTTTGAGCACCACTGACTGCACTGACAGCGAAGGCCGCGAGCGAGCGGACGGCGAGCGGTGGAAAAAGGACCCGTGCGCCACATGTGAATGCAGAGTGAGTGTAGCGGGCAGGGCTGTGGGTTAACACGTGAACACGTCCTCTGTAAGACGCCGTTTAAATGTTTCTGAGAGTCTGGAAGCGTCTCGTCTCTTCGAGCAGCTCTTGGCATCATGTTCAGTTTTCGTGTCTGACTGTGTTGCTGCTGGCGATGGCGCTCCGGTGTCAGACCTTCCCACCTCCTGCAGGCCTGGCCTCCACGCCGCTGTGTTGCCATCTTTCGCTCTTCTCTTCCACACCTCTCTGCATTCAGAGGGATGTTTGCAGTAATTGAGCTTGGCAGGCAGAAGCAGACGAGGAAGACAGTCTGCGAGCAAACAGAGCAGTCTGTGGTCGTCACGCACGACGACACAGCGAGCATGACGGGCAGGTCAGTCCCAGGTCAGGTGGTCCTGGTGGCAGGAGGCGGAGTGACCGGCTGAGGGTCACATGGTGTTATTGTCACATGCAAACAAACAGAACCCAAAATCAAACCTGGGTTTGAACGCGATCATGTCTACCTGCCCTGGTTTGCAGCCGTGTGATTGGCTGTTGATCACGTGAGCTAAATGATGTCAGTTCTTATTGAACAGTTTAAGTTTTCTTTCCCGTTTTGGTGTTTTTGGCGTCTTTTCTGTCAGTTTCGCCTCAGATCTCACACGTAACGACGTCATGACTTGTCGCACTTGTTGTGTTTTCCCGCCCCGACAGGACGCCCAGGTGACCTGCTTCGTGGAGTCCTGCCCAGCGACCGAGTGCAAACGGCCCGTCAAGCTAAAAGGCAGTTGCTGCCCGGTGTGCCTCGAGCAGCTGACGGCGCCCGCCCGCCGCCCGTAACGACCCTCAGGACCCCCGCAAACACGCCCTCTGGCGTCTGAACGTCACACGCTCGCAATCAGACGCACGGAGAGGACATGAGACTCGTGAAATCGCGCGGCTCCACCGCCGCCAACGACCTCGACAGACCCAACAGCCTCGTCTCAGTTTTTCGTTTTCTTCGACCCGGGGAGGGATTTTATTTTGTTTCCTGTTTGTTGCACCCAGCGGCGCCAGGCTCGCTTCGAAATCCTCCGGCGACGAGCCGCTGTCACTACGTGGATTTATTTCTGACCCGCCGGATGGACGAGCGGGCGTGAGACGGGCCGGCCTCTCCTTCCTCCCTGCGCCCAGGCTCCCGAAGAGCCGCGACCAGCTGCCGTTTGCCGTCCTGCTCCTCCCGCTCGACGATAAATTGCAGGACAGGGAAGTAGATGGAAAGGCGGTCGCCATTTTCTTGTCTCACACAATATTCTCAGGTTAGAGATGCCGAAAACTGGTGCTACCCCCCGATTTTATCACAGTTTAATCACTAAACCTTCAAAGTATTTTGTTGTATATGCAAAGCAGCCTATATACACTCAGTATGTCCTTAATGCTACATCACAGTTGAGACGACTGTTGTACTTATGAGTAGAGTTACTGCATCTTTAACCCGCGGTGCTTTTTATCATGTTATTCTCTTCTTTTCCCTTTTTGTATAAATTGTTGCATATGAAGAAAATGTGAAGCCCTACAAAAAAAATGTCTACTGATCTCTGCTCGTCGGTCCACTGACGACTCCCTCGCTGTGTGTGCCGGACGCTCGGCCGGCTCTCGCTCCGGCGCCTTTGAAAGAAACCCTGTTTGTACCACTGTGTTCACGTGCCGCGGACTTTATTCCAGTATTTTCCTCAGTGTTTTAAAGCCAAAAGTATGATTTTATGAGTTTATGTTTGAATGTTGTCCTGGTTCAGTATTCTCACTTTGACCTGCTCATGTTCGGACCGGTGCTTCTGCAGTCGTGGGAAGATGAGCTCAGTAATTTCAATGAAACAAATATTTGACTGGATCTGAACAAGTTTTAGCACAAAGGCTTAAAGCCACACAAACCAGTGTCTGTTTATTAAGTAGCTGAAACGATGCTTACCTGCCAGAAACACTCAGCCACAGTCGTGTGCGCTAATATCAAATATAAACAATTCGATTCTCATCAGGTGTCTAAATGAGGTTAACACAACCTGTTATCATCTATCCTGCAGACGCTAATGCAAAATGCAGAAACAACGTGATAAACCGAGTCCACTCTTAATGCTTCTGCAGGAGTCAGCGTCAGCGAGGAGCTGCCAATCAGATGCATTGATTAATTAATCATCATCATCATCACCAGCGCCTCTATAAAAGCAGGAGCTGTGTCAGTTTGCAGGTCTGGATCTTCACAGCAGTGGACGTCCTAGAAAATTCACCGTGAGGTCAGACCCAAGAGTTCCGGCTCAAACTCAGCTAGCATGTGAAAGGTTAAAGGTCACGACAAGCAGTAGAAGACAGAACAAGCGTGGGTCGTTTGGAAGCTGAACAGAGGGCAGATGTTTGTCCACCAACCTAATAGCTGGACCATGAACTCCAAAGATGCTGAAACCTCACAGTGGAGAGACCGACTGAGGCGGTCACACAGGAAACTTCCAGTGCTCCTCCATGAATCACAGGCTGGACTCGCATACACGCCGTCTGCATGAATAATGAATTAATGTGTCGCTTATTCCAGGTCGTATTTACCTCATTTTACAGACTTTATTTTGCCCTGATATGTAAAACAGAGAAACTTTCCTTTCTCTTGATTACAGTTATAAAGCTGCACATTTAAAGGTCAGCGTGACAAACAACGAGCAGCTGAAATATAACAGAAATGGCTGCTGTCCATAACAGACTTAGTGCTCTAATAAGTAGCAGAATATTGCTGCCAGTTTGTGCATTTATGGACAGTTTGGCTAAAAGGTGTTTAGATCCAGTTTAAAAGAATAAAGTGAGAGGTGCTGGGGGGGCGGGGTCACAGCCTGCGGCTCCGCTGGCGCCGACGACACCGTTGGAGGACTGCGAGCAGCTCTGCTCTGCAGCTCTCTCGGTCCAACGACACGCTTGCATTCCTTTGTCCAGCAGCCCCCCTCCTCGCTCTCCCCCCCCCCCCGTTGGGTGTTTATATAGGTTAGGAATGCTCTGAGATATGGAGGATGACGCCATGTAGCCGAGCATGTGTGGCGCGGGCCTCTGACCCTCATTCCTTCATAATTGAAGCCATATGAGAGAGGAAGTGATGTTGGGGGAGGGGCGCTCAGGGTCGGGGGGGCTGTTTGTCAGACCGATTTACCGCCTTTCACACGTACTGTACTCCTCGTACTCTCCGTGCACTGACACAATTCCCGATCTCGTCTTCCTATTTTCCTCCGATTGTGTCAGAGCGTGTGCAGTTTTCCTTTCCTGTGTTTTCTTCTTCAGTGGTAACATCCTGCGAGCTGAGGGGCTGATCGGTGACAGTAAAGATGTCAGAGCACCCACAGTCACACTGGTAAACAGTATCACCTCATACTGGACGAACTGTGTTTACAGTGGTGTCTCCTTCTCCTGCAGCACCATGTTACTGTGTGTTCGTGTCCCCGTGTCTCGGTCACAGCTACTAGCTTTGGCTCGCGCCCCGAAGCTCTGTGAGCTCTTTGCGTTACCCGTCTGTGTGTGTTGATAGATGTGTGTATTTGTGAGTCCCTCTTTTTATTTCCCCTTGAAAAGGTTCCCAGTGTCAGTGGAGCGCACTGCCCTGCAGTACTGAACGTGTGTTACCTACACTGTCCTAACCAGCGGTCATTGTGGACAACCTAGTGCCTGTCATGACAGTTGTATTGTACCTTTGCCAAAGAATGGTTTGCACTGTAATGTATGCCTCTCAACAGTAATAATAAATAAAAAAGCCACATTTGAATTACAGTCACATGTTGGTGCCTGTTCTTTGTCAGCTCATCATTAATGAGAGGACTTTTTTATTTGCTCATCACAAAATGACTTTTGTTTCACTGAACATGACTCGTCTGATTTAGTGTTCTGGTTTAAAGCAGATACTTGATCAGGTCCAAACTACAGAGCCTACAAGTTTGCATTTGACTCTGATTACTCTCAAGTTCCTGCACTTCCTGTTTGGTTTGTTAGTTGGTCTGTCAGTCATGACTGGATGGGTCCCATTACAGTTTTAGACCCATCCATCCCACTTATCCTTGGGGGGGGGCTGAAACCTATCCCAGGACGAGACGATGTGTCCGCAGACATCGACTATCAGTACGGTGAGTCCACCTCCGTCCATACCTGTGAATATTTAGCCTTTTAGGAACTTTTTGAAATTCATCTTGACCACGACTCGCACGTGCAACAGGAACTCTGCAGATCTGTCCTCACATAAACTTCCTGCTGAGGTTAAACTGTCATCTGCATATAAAATGAAACCTGTCAGTAGATTTGGGGCTAACAGTAGTTAACCCTTTAGTGTAGTACCCACCTGGTCTAATCTCAGAATCATCGATGACCATCAGTTTTTCATTTGTCCTCTTCTAACTGCTGAAGTGCATTTCACTCTTTGAAATCAATCTGCTTTTGGAAACTGTGACCAGCAGACAAAACAGGAAGTCTTGGCTGAGATATCTGCTGCTACAGCAGACGCTCCAGAGCGGACCCAGCAATTCTTTGCCCCAACAGCCACATGAAAAACTGGGACTGTTGTGGAGGGTCGCACCAATAAGCTCATAAAGGGCTGAAAGTGGAGCTGAGCTGAGTTCAGTTTATTGGTGTGACTCTCCAAATGTGAACATCATCTCCTACCCAGGCTCCAGAGTCAACGGCCAATTCATGCAGCAGATGGAAGAGGACGTCTCGGCCCGAACATCTGATCGTCCCTGAAAACTCGTCGGCAGGTTAAAAGGCCTCAGTCACGCAGGCCTACATGTTTCATGCAAACATGGAAACTGCAGCAATCTGCAAACATCCTAAAACCTCACAGGAGCTGTTCTGCTCTTTGCTACCTTCAGGCTCCGGTTCAGTAAATAACCTTCTAACCTGTGCTCCACTGTGTCAGGTTAATCAGACCCATCCTTTGCTGCAGTCGCTCACCTCAGCAGGGACACCGCCTACTCTGTGTTGCTAACAGTTGCTCCACCTGTTGCTACCCTTCACCATGTCACTGACCTTCAGTGATCGCTGGTCGCTCTGGCAGCTCTGTGGATGAGAGCAAATCAGTAACACACCTGCAAACATGAAGGCGACAAGACTGAGCATTCTGTGCCTTTAAACATTAGCATGTTAGCACACTAACTGCCAGCTTTTGCCAAGAGCAACAACAGCATCTAAACTATGTGCAGACAAGCAGAAAGCAGCTGTGAGGGATGTTTGCAAGGTGAGTAATATTAGCAGCTTCAGACTGCTGGCCACATGTGGGTTGAAGTAAATGAACTCTGCTCTGGGAGTTGTCTCGTTGAACTCTACGCCTGGTCTTCCACGCTTCTCCCCACAGACTTGGCTCTGGCAGCCGAACCGGAGTGGACAGAGCCTCTGGAAGGAAAACCGGACCGGGAAATGAGGTTTCCAGTGCTGCACAGATAAAAGAGCCTCGATCTTTGGCAGGAAAACACATTATCGCCCTGACAACAAGGGACCTGGCTCACTTGGAGATCCAAACAGGAATACACACATGGACTGTGTCTGGTTGTTTCCTTGTCTGCTGCAGAGTTTAACATGAAAGCCAAAGGTCCAGACTGAGCGATTCAGAGAGAGGTGGAAAATCTGATTATGTAAGTGTTGTGGACGGGCTAGATTAGACCAGCATGTCTCACACACACACTCAGCAAAGCAATGCAGGCCTACAAAATCTAAAGCAACCCTGAGATCTGGATCTCCATGCAGTGTGTGTCAGAGTTTGAGGCAGAGCACTGGGGCTAAACTTCAGGGTTTGGAAAGGACACGAGTCTGCAGCTGCACAGTCCTGGCTACCCGGCGAGCCGCCTGCTTCCCACTCATCACATACTGGAATTTCATTTAGGCAATTGGCCCTCAGCGATGCACCTCTCGCTCGCCAAGGTGGGGGATTCTTTCCCCTCGCTAATGGAACGTCATTCTCATTTCCAGAGCGGGGCGGATGAAAGCCAGAGAAGTGGTGTCCTGCTGAGGGAAAATGGGTTTTGCATCCCAGCACTCAAAGGACTGCGGCGATGGCTTGTGACCCCCGGCGGGTAGGAAGTGTCATGAGATGGATTCCTGCTAGCGTTTTTGGCTCTGACACATGAGGCAGAGAGTTTACAGGGCAGGTGTTTGCATAAAGCAACTGCTGAAATCACAAGAGATGCAGTTTAATGTGCTTCACCGAGTTATTAAGAATTACAGGCGCTTTATTTCATGCAGACGTAATCTTAGTCCTGCTGGAGGCACAGGGGGGGATCTTTTTGAGAGCTCGTGGACTTGCCGCTTCCTGTGAGCGTCCTGCCAGAGTCCAGACAAGCAAACTGTAAGCAGGTCTGTGCTGATGGACTGCAGCTGAGTGTTTATCTTTTCAACAGCTTTTCAAAAGCTCCACACTCTCAGCTGGGCTCTCGTCTCTCCCCTTGTTGACATGAACAACCCGCCCATTTCCTGCCTGTATGTTCACTTTATTCTGGTTTATTACTTTTAGTCTATTGATGTCATAATGTCATTAGTTATACGACAGCTTTGTTGGAGTTTGCTTCTGCTGCCTTGAAGTAGATCAAACGTTTATTTCAGGTTTACAAAAATACATGAAAATCATCACGATACCATGTGTATGAAGTGTAATCACAAAACTGGAAAATACGTCTATAAAAGTCAAAAACCTGAAACCTGACCATGAAGTGCTGGCCTGTCACTGGAGCATGCTCAGTTAGAGACTGAGGCTACCCACAATGCACCAGTAAAAAACAAAGGAAAGCAAGCAACCAACACAATCACTCCCCACATGAATCACTCATCACATCTCTCGGCCTGTGACCTGTCCCACTTCCTGAAAACGAAACTCAAACTGGAGGATCAACGGTTTGACTCGCGGGAGGCGGTCGAGCATCCGTCACAGAGAGACGAGTACAAGAATACACAGCAGGACTGCAGGAAACAGTCCAGAGCTGCTCGAGAAGATCACCATGAGTGTGAGAGTGAACAAATTTACATCAGTTATGTTTTTATGGATGTTTCTTACTGGACCTTTTGATCACAGCTGGTCGTTTTCTGAGCCCACGTGGAATTATCAGCCAGCTCACGCCTGCGAGGACGCGCTGATGTGCAGCGTAGTAGTCTCCCTGCACACGGAGTGAACCTGGATGAAACTGGTGGTTGGGTTCAGACTCGCGCTGTGATTCTTGCCCTGAGAATTCTAGCTGCAGACGCCATGAGTGGGCGTGTGCTCCGGTCCTATCTGCCCGCCTGACTCGTCTCTGTGGTCACAACAAACTGGACACATCTTTAGGTGCTGGTTCAGAGCCAGGTGCCTTAGTGCCTTAGGAGAACAGATTATAATCACGAGCAGATGTTGGAATCTATAGGCTGCATCTGCTGTGTATTGGTTCCTGTGGGAGCCCGTCCCCTAGCCACTCACATGAGTCAGACTCTGTGTACAGGCTTTTTACAGGTTCCAGGTTTAAAACCAAGAACCCATCAGTCAGGGAGCAAATCTGCTGTGAGCCCCACAGAAAAGTTCTCATCCTTCCTGTAAATGTTCAGATGTTCTGACTTCAGTGCACAGATTATTAGTCACCTGTGCTGCAGTGCTGAATGCAGGGTTGGGCAGATTTTACTAAGACTGCATGTCAAGTTCATAAGCAAGCTTCACCCTAAATGCTTGCGTGCTTATCTGCCAGCGTTAACGATGGCAATCCAGAGCGATCGTAATGGGAGACAGTGACGAGGAAATGTTTGCATGCTCAGTGGAAAAGTTGTGCTCATCAAACCTGGCAGAGAGCTTATTGGCCTCATTTGCAGTAACTGCCTCTCAGGAGGTCTCTGTGGAGCTTCAGCCTGATGTCCTACTGTGATGTTAGCATCAGCAGCTAACTGCTAACAAAGCATCTTTTCATTCAGCATGATTACTTCCTGTTCTTTGTGTCCAGTGTGCTTTGGACTGGACTTAATTCATTCAGTGGCAGTGATACTCAGAAAACACGAGGCATGTTTGACTCATTTATTCCTTCCAGCTGCTCGATGATCTCCGACATGTTTGTGAAACTCGTGTTTTTGTCCTGAACGCTCGCCTCGAGCGCTTTAAAAAAGTGAAGCAAGCACCTCCTTATGTCAAACGGCAGCCTTCCATATTTAGACTCGTGAATCTGAGAGGATGCTCACGTTGATAAGTATGGCTGCTTTACACGCACAAAGACCTCAGTTTTATTTATAACTGGTAACAGATGGGACCACCACAAATATGCATCTTGCACAGAGGCGCCATCAGCAGCAGAAAAGGTAATCCTAACAAGCTACTGCAGATGTGTTCAGGCATCGTATCCTCAAAGAGTGGAAGCATCGCGCATACATGACATAATGATTCCTGTGCACTGGAGGGGATGGGATGGCAAACAATGTTATTTATGTACAGTCACAGCCGAAATAATCAGCACTCCTGAAATCTTTCCAGAAAAAGCACCATTTCTCCCAGAATATTGTTACAAATGTTTTGGTTTACACTTTATTTCGTTTATTTGCATTTGATCAAAAAACCCCAAAAGAACAAAAGTCAAATTTGAAGTGTTTCACACAGAACTCGGGCTGGACAAAATTATTGGCATCTTTTCAATATTGTTGGTGAATTGTCTTATGTCAAGCGTATGACGCTTGTTTGAACTCACCTGTGACAGGAAACAGGTGCTGGCAATGAAGCAATCACACCTGAAGCCAGTAGTAGTGTGAGTGTGCTGCACGGAGGACAGAAAGGAGAGCAAAATATGATTTTTTTTAAAACTTTTGCTCACTTTAGGTTCAGGAACATTTCATCACTTGGTGTAAAAAGATTTCCTTACAGGCAGTAAACTGCTCATTGGGCCATGATGAGCTGAGAGTGACAGATTTATCTCTGTTGCACATGCTAAAGCACACGGCAGCACTACCTGCTGCCCCGCTGGCTGGTGCTGCTCTCAGTCCCTGAACTCGGACCCATTTTCATCACATCTCCTGCAGATACGAGTGGCTCCGGATGAACTCCACCACACTGCCCCGCATGTTGAAAATAGATGCTGAAAGGGTTGAAGCCTGTGTGGCGTTGCTGCATTAGTCTGTGTGAAAGTGAAGGCTGGGTTGTTTGTTCCTCTTTCCTCCTCAGTCTCTGATTTAATTCTCAGCTTTGCTCTTTTCAGCTTCCAGCGTTTAAGTTACACAAATTAGATTTACAGCTGTAACTCGACGCCAAATAGAGTGCTACATATGACCCCCCTCCCACCAGGGGGACTCTTTCCCCCCTTATGAAAATACCAAACTGCTTTCCCAGGTCTGTAAAGTGTGATTGCCTAAGCAGAGTGTATCCTGTGGCTGAAACGCAGACACAGATAAGAGGAGATTTGATCGTCAGTGTTCTCCAGGTTAGATACGATTATTTCAGACGTGTGAGTGCTGGGCAGAGTAACAGTTGCTGATAGAGAGCCAAGCATGTGAGGACTGGCCGAGCGCCTCGCTGGCAGATGACCGACTGGCAGATGGGATGACTCGGTGCGTGACTGACTGATCGGCCCGCTGGTTGATTTGCCCGCATTCCTCAGTGGACGCCAGCGGGGTACAGTCTGACCCAGCGTGATAATCCTCTCCTCGCCTCCAGGACCCCCTAATCGGCCCTCCTTCAGGCATAAAATGGGCCAAGCACACACTGGAGGAATGTATGTTCACAGGCACACAAACACCGACTGTGACGCCAAAAAGAACCATCTGTCTGCATCTCTTAAAAAAGAAAGATAAATGACCTGTCTGCAGCTTTCTTCACAGAGCCTGGGAGAAAATAAAACTCTAAATCAGCAAAACCACTGAGAGACACTTGGATGCACGAGGAATCAAAACGAATGCATGTTGGTTTTCATCGATGGAGTTCATCTGCGACCGTATCTCTGAGGCCTGTCGGCGCTGACGGGCCGATGTCAGGCGCTCAGTGAGGGGGGGTGTCTGCAGCTCAGGGTGTTGCCCCTCGGTTGCCTACATGACAGCGTGTTAGCATACAAAGACTTGGACGTGTCTCCTGGTGCTGGTCTCAGGGTTTGAGTTCTGCACTCCTGATTGATGTGATTGAGTTTCTGTTTGGATTTCTTGGCTGTTTCAGTGCTCGTGGCTGTTTGTTCACTTGGTTTTTCTCGTCTTGTTTGAGGTTTTTCTTCATACTTTGTGTTTCTGTGCCCAGCCGTGCTGCTCTTGGCCCTCACCTGTGTCTAGTCTTCAGTCAGTTCTCTGCATGTTCTCCATGTTTCGCCCCGTTTCTTCAGCTCTTTGTCAAAACTTCAGTTTGTTTCGCTGAAGTCGTGCCCTGTTTGTGTGTGATATTCTGTTTCTTTTGGTACTTTGTTGGTGGATATTTGTCTTTGTCTCGTCTTCACACACCTTTGTGTGACACCACGGTGGAGGCTCAAAGAGTTTGGGGTCTTTTACTAATCTGTTGAAATCGCTCTCAGAGATCTAAAAGTGAAAAAATATTCATACGCACATGATAAGACACTTTTTTTGTTTTTACTTTCTTAAAGATTTGACACCATGACAGCCTCCGCTGTGGTGTACACACAGCAGACCTCAAACGTAAGGACCAGGGTGTGGATCCATCTCTCCGTCAGACCTGTTCCTCGGATCTTCAGTCCAGTTCTTGTGTCATTTTCATACATCAGAATTTGCTCTGGTTTCCCTTCAATAAGATTGACTTGCTGACAGCCGTCCTTCACTGAGAGTTTCTGATGAAGCTAGGGTTCAGGGGTTAGGGTTCACTAACCCAGGCTTCAGTGAACAGAAGATGATCGGCTGAAGGTCCAGATCATCTCTCAGGGCCTCCGTCAGATTTCTGCTGGATCTTTTGCTCTTTTCTAAAGAACGTACTTTCAGATTCGTCAGCTGTAGATAATTGTTCTCAGGCCTTTTCTCCACAAGTTTTCAGTTCTTCAGGAATCACCCTGTTGGTGCAAAAAATATCCCTTTATGCTGTTTCACTGTGTTATCTTTGTGATTTTTCAAAAGTCCGACTAAAGAACGGTGAATAAATGTGTTTGTGTGACAGGCTGCTGATGACAAAGAGGCCAAAGATGCAGCTCTTTGCTAAGCTGTGATGACACAACACTGGAATGATTCATAGCTCAAAAACACTCCTCTGAAAACGTTCAGATACAAGTGAACAACATCTGGAAATGAGTGAAAAACAGCCAATGTCCAAAAAAACCATTGAAAGACTTCAAAAATTGCATTTTCGTTTACAGCACAGTCGCCCCCTGCTGGACATGAGAGAAAAATACAGGTTTAAGGTACTATGGCACTGGCTTCACTTTTGTAATCCGTGTAAGAAATGTTGCACGTCTCCAAATTTAACTTCTAATCAACCAGCAAAGGAACTCAAAGTGTTATTAGCTGTGATTTGTCTCATTTAACCAGGTGTAGATTTGCTAACTAGGACCAGTGCAGCTCCAGTTAAAGCTCACAGATAACCAAATGAGCCCCCACGATGCGTCAGTGACGACTCCTGGGAAAATCACTCAGCTGTAAGAGAGAAACCAGTGCTTTCGTTATCAGGTACCAGATGTTCTGACGTTCCTCATGAAAAGGCCGCACAGGAGAGACCTCTCTGAGGCCCTGAGGTATCTATCTATCTCAGCTCATCCATAATAACTGAAAAACATAAAACGAGTCACCTGGAATGAGCCCGGGGCTGATGGGCTCTCTCAGTCAACACGCTAACGTTTTACAAGCTGCCATTTCTGTGACGAGAGGTGGATGCTCATAAATCAGCTGATGCTGTGAGTCCTGACCGCAGAGACCGCTGCCGTTCCCTGCGTAGACGCTCCTCACATCCATGAAACTGCCAACAAAGCTAGGCATGCAGTAATGGTCCTATCCTGCCCCCTGGTGGTCGTATGTATGTATGCATGTAAGCGGACAGCCCGCAGTGGCTGCAGCTGCGTTTTTCTACAGTGCATGTGTCTGCTTGTTAGAAGCAAAGCAGTGGAAAAAGAAAAAGGAGCCGTCAATTCTACATGTGCTCCAGTCATGTATTTCTCTGCAATTACAGACTCTGTGTAAACATCTTGGTATCAAAGTAAAGCGAACGCTTGTGAGATTTCTTTAGAGGTGTAAATATTACAGCAGAAGTTACTGTGTCAAAGTTACCGAGGCTGGAGCAAAAAGAAGTAAGAATATTTTTTTATCACCTAATTTGTTTGTATTATATTGGTTATAAACTCTTTGAAAATATGCACAGTGGACAATAAACTCCAGGAAACCACATATGAGCATCATCTGTGCAAATACAGAAATTACACAGTGGGTTCAATGAGGACACAGGCCACATTGTGACACATCTGTGAGTAGAAATTTCTGTTGAACAGCAGAAATGATTGAACTTTATTTACAGGCCTAAAAAATGTTTGTTGTTTGAATAGTTTTTGAAGAATTACCAACACTCTCAGTATGATGGGATGGTTGACGTTGTGCCCCAGAGTTGATTAAATAGGCTGAACTTCGGCTTCTATTGGCTGATTTGCATGTCTGACAGTAGAATCACAGTGACGTCACTACATTTACATCAGTCCCACAAGTCAAAAGTTGCAAGGTGAGAAAAACGTGCTGTAAAATTTACAACAATTTACGATTCTCTAACTGGGCTGGAAATGGCGATTTGATGTGAACGGCTCTGTGTTGGTGTCTAAGGTGGAGGCTTCACAGAAGGGTCGTAGCAGTTTTGTGGAATCGCTTCATGTTGTAGTTTATCGAACGTGAAATGTCTGCGGTTCGGAGCGTAATGAAAGCGTCGTCTGATTTGTGACGTTCGCTCCAGTAAATCTGAGCTTCGGTTGTTTTTTGTTTCCATACAGTTGGTGAAATGATGCTCTTTTAATTGTTTGTTGTTTCACCTGTTTGATGGTCGTAGAAATATTTTTATGAGCTTTTATTTGAGATTCAGGGTTTTTGTGGCTCCCACACAGCTGTATTCACATAACAGGTCACACAGACGCAGTCACCTTTGTCTGAATCGAACAAACAAAGCCTGGATGTAGTTATGTGACCGTGTAAGGATTGAGAAGCTATGGGTAAAACTTTAACAGTAATAATTCAACAGTGTTACTAGTGCACATTTGCCTGTACTGTAGTAATGTGTTCACAGTTCATGCTGATGCAGCAGCTTCCAGCAGAGCGCTGCCATTGTTCAAGCGTGGACTGATCTTGTTGTTATAGAGGTTTCTGGAGCAGTGACTGACACAGTTTGGAGTTTCAGTTTTAGGTCAGCCAGCGTTTGATAGAGTGCTTTATGTCTGAGGTACAGCTGTTCAAACACACAATCTAACACTTTGTGATACTTTTTAAAGGTTTTACACATTTTTCTGGTCAGTACGGCAGCTTTGTCCTCAGTGATTTTTATCTCTACGGAAACTTTGCAGAGGAACTACAAACGCCAGCACAGAGTTTGATTGAAACTAATTCAGTGTATTAGAGACACAGTTTCCTGCTCCAGTGATCATAATTTCTCCATTAATGACAGCTTCATGTATCATTTCCTATCCTGAGGCCTTTACGTGGCACAAACAATGACATGTGAGGTACAACATGAACTCACACATCAGTGCTCAATAAAATGTTTTATGTGTGCTTCCAAAAGTCTGACCTGCGCAGAGGTCCCTGTCCTCCACAGCAGGCTGCAGGAGCATGAAACAGCTGGATTATTGAGCACACTATCTGTGCTCGTGTCTGTAGCCTGTGAAACCTCTGCTTATCAGCACATCTGAGAAAGTCATTGTTGGAAACCGCACACGGTGTCACAATCTGCTGCCACACTTCTCTTTTCACTGTTAATCTGATCTACATCTAGTTTTCCCATCTTCCTGTTTCTCCAAAGCCCAGTTTAGCTGTGGTGTTCCCCAGAGCCCCGTGCTCGGCCCGCTGCTCTGCTCGGGTTACCCACTTCCTCTCAGACATGATACTCAGAACTGTACGATGATATCTATCCACAGAGAAACCACGCACACAATATCTTAAAAATACATTTTAGTCTGCAAACTTATGGCACATCCAGTTAAATTAATAGTTAATATTGATTAAAACCCTGATATTTTCATACAGTTTTATTCAGATAATGCAAAAACAAAACAAAACACAGGTCTACAAAATGCCAAATATTAAAAACAGCAGGGCAGGTGTACAGCATGCTTCAAGAAAAGAAGATGAGGTTCAAGTGACAGTTATGGGAAGATCCAGAAAATGAAGAAGTTTAGCTTCTTATCTTTAAAAACAGCAGATTTAATCATCATACACAAAAAAGAAGCTCCTGCTGGTGACACGAGAACAGGAATAAACACCTCGACTGTAATACCAAATTATTCCAACAGGGCGCTTCATTCTCAGATTGCAGGATTATGTGTTTACATGTTCATGTCACAGAAAACCGACCTCGATGTCCCAAACATCCAAACCTGCCCGTTAAAAAAATTACATTATGTTTAGTTCAGTTAGAGATGCGGTTTATAGCATCAAACTTCATTAGCAAAGAGTACAGTTGCAACCTGCACGACACAGTTACTTCTAAATCACAAGAACAATACGTGAAGTCAAAGCGTGAGATTCTGCTGCTGTGTTTTTAGTTTGATGGATAATAAGCTGCTGTGGTCACCTGTGTTTCTGAGGACAGCTGTTGGACTTGATGTCCAGTTTTGTGTCATATAAACGGGATGCAGTAGATGAGAACATCTCACAGTCTCTATGATTAAAGCACAGTTTCACAGCAAAGCTTGAGAGCGATGAATGCCGGACTGATTTCCCTTTATAGCTGAAGTGTTAAGCGCTGAATGACGACATGTTGTTGGAGCCTTCCGACAACTTCAGCCCTGACATGCAGATCTCGGACGTGCCACGTGACGAGCGAGCGGTGTAGATGTACCTTTTGCTGAAGCACCAGAGGTCCAGCATGATCTGGCGGAAGTGGTTCCTGAACTTGACCCCGACGAAGGCGTAGAGGAAGGGATTGAGACAGCAGTGCAGGTAAGCGACGGTCCTGCAGATGTTGAGAAATTTGAGTTTAAGGTTCTCGGCGTCGCAGCTCCTCTGCTTGAACAGAGACAGCATGTGGATCAGCAGGGTCACGTTGTACGGAAGATGGCAGACAATGAACACAGCAACGACCGCCAACACCACCCGGACGGCCTTGTGCCGCTGGTTGCTCTGCGCCCTCAGCAGCGTGTAGATGATGCAGGAGTAGCAGAACGCCATCACGCACAGAGGCAGCAGGAAGCCAACGGCCATCTGGAGGCTGGGTACCAGCAGCTTCACGAGCGCCGCAGTTTCAGTCTGGTTGAAAGACATCTGACACATCACGGTGACGCGGTCAGACCCCGGGGAGTTATCTTCAGAGGGTTCAGTGTAGATGAGCGTGGGGAGAGTTAACGCCAGTGCAAACACCCAAACCGCCGAGCAGATCAGGCGGCTGTAGACGAGGGCACGGGAGCGCGTCCCAAAAGAGCGCGTCGCCCGAACAATCGCGATGTACCGATCGCAGCTGATGCAGGCGAGCAGCAGCATGCCGCTGTAGAGGTTAATGCTGTAGGACGACCGAAGCACCTTACAGGCCACCCTGCCCATCGACCAATCGTGCTGCTCGTTGTATATGACGAACGGAAGCGTAGCAACGAAGATCAGGTCGGCCACGGCCATGTTGAAGAGGTAGACGTCCGTCATGGTCTTGGTTCTCTTGTAGAAGATGTAAGTCACCATCACCAGGACGTTGCCAATCAGGCCGAATCCGCAGATGATGGAGTGGATCAAAGTCTGGGTGATGACCTCACTGGCGTCAGGATCCATGATGCAGAAGCCGTCGTCATCGATATATGTCTCAGTACCGTTGTCATAGTCACCGAATGTCGCGTTTGCAGGACTCTCCGTCATGTTTGCGACCTGGAGAAGAAAAGAAACATGATGAGTGAAGCACTGACTGGAGACATTTTCAGAAGGACCTGAAACACGCTGTCAGTGAAGCTTTGATCATGTGATGTTGTTCAGGTTGAGCAATGAGAAAAGAGACTTCAGAGAGGATCCCCGGCCTCCATTGTTCCCAGTAGATCTGACGTGTTATTTAATGCTCCACCGTTCACAGAAACCAGACGTTGTACATTGTAAAAAACGCTTGTTTATAAAGAATTAAAACACATAAATTGTGAATGTTTCCTGAAAGCTGTCCAGCTGCTGCGCTGCCTGGGTTCGCCGTCCCAGACGCCGTCCTGGAGCCGACCTTTCTCGTGTCTTTGGGTCAGTCATGTTGACATCAAGGATATCTCCAGCGTGAAGTGTCTGACGTGCTACATGAGCTGAAGCCGCGGCGTCTGCTTCCACCAGTCAGTGAAGGTCTCGCAGTCACATGTGGGTGTTTTGGTCTGTGCCTCTAATAGCTTCCTGTTTCTGCCACGTATCCACGTAAAGCTGCCACAGCAGCTCCGACCTTAAACTTCAGCACAGTGTCTTTGGTGGTTTTTGTGTTCCTGTCTGCTCTGTGCCACATAACGATCTCTTCTCCAGATGAGTCTGTCTCATCCATTTAACAGCAAACTCAGCAGAACGAGTCTGAGACGCAGATGCAAAAGTTTCAGGACACTGAAGTTGTAAAAGTTTACACACCGCCTGATTTCTAAATGTGTGATCGTGTGACGAATCATATTGTAATAATAATTTTTAATATTGAACCAATTTTAATTTGAATCAGATCCTTTGATTTGAAGGAAAACTTTGTAACATCAGTTGTGTTGAGTAGTTTGTGATGTGATTCTCACAAACAGCTGAATTACTGTGATTTCTGTCCTGATCTAAAGCTGCAGTTTTACTTCCAGATGTAGAAATCTGTGGTGCAAAAACCAAAATTAATCATCTGTGTGATGACACCAAAGGAAAGCCCTGTGCCATCATTAGAAAGCAGGTTTGACCTCTGACAGACCACTGTGCTGTCTGATGAAAGAAGATATGAAGAGTTCAGCACCAACAATACAAATCAATCCAGCACAGCGTGCACCCTGCACACACCGGGGGTTGAGACTCCTCACACCTTTTCTGGTGGTTTCAGAAAATAAACCATCGTTCTGTGTCAGCTGTTCCTCTGGTTATGAATGACCCACTTTCAGCCCGAGGCGACGCCTGCACAGGTACGCCGTGCTTTGTGCTTCGCTTAGAAAATGATCCGATTGTTATCAGAGGGCATCTCAGATGTAATGAGGTCAAAAAACAAACACTAAGAGCCAAACTGAAGTGAGAAAATCACAAAAAGGGAGTGCAGAGGCTTTGTGTCTGCAGAACTGCACTTTTTCATTCACTCGTTAATTTATTTATTTGTCAATAAAACTATGCTGTCGGATGAGAAGTTAAAATCGGTCTAGATGCAGACAAACTAAATATAATGATGTCAAATCCAAACAGTCAGAATCTTCACAGACTGGCTTTTACTGCTGAGTTTAACTGTTGGGTCAATTTTAGAGTTTTTATGCTTCATTTCAGTTTGTGGCCGTGAGGTCGTCACATCTGTGGCTGTAAAACTGTTTCAGAGCTCGTTTGGATCATTACTAACATAAAAAACAAGATCAGATTTATTATTGTTATTGTTGAGAATCAGAGGAACTAACGTGATGAACTAAACGTGTGGATAAAATGTAACAGTTTCAGATTCACTGAATCTAGATTTTATCACCTCGCTGTTAAATTTTGTGCTTTTTCTAGGAGAAATCTTTAAACTATTTTTAGTAAAAAAAAATTAATTTTGAAGTTTTTTTTTTAATAAAGCATTTTTACTTGAGATCAAACCGGGCCACACGTGGGCCGTGACCTACAGACAGTGTGTCACCTTAATGAGATTAAAGTACCTCATTTGACCTTCTTTGAAATCCTTTCGCAGAATTAAATCATCTAAGACTTCAAACGTCACTTCTTAAACACGACGACTCAGAACTGTTCACAGTTTTTCTGATCTGAGCTGATATAAAGCAGCGAGGGTGGGAGAGTGTGAGAGGCAGAGGAGGATGAAGGGAGGAAGATGGAGGGCAGCGCGTACAGACAGTCCTAACCCATATAAAAAGCAGAGGACATGCAAAGTGTGAGATTTAAATGTCTCACTTTTGATGCATTCATGAACGTGGGTCTGTGCAAGGATCCGTCTGCAGGCTTTGAAGCTGTTTCCCACACGAGTTCGTTCATCCTGTCTTTGAACAACGTGTGATTACAAAGCTGCTAAAATACAGATAATTAAACAGGAAAAGTTTCATTTTTAGTTTCTGTCCACCAACAGTAGTGTTTGAGTTAAACATGCCTGTAACAAAAATAAGCCCACATAACAACAACAACAACAACAACAACAACAATAATGATAATAATAATAATATTATTATTATTATCATTATTATTATTAATCCCAGAAATTACATTAAATGAAAACTAAAACTTATAAAGCAACTAAATCAAAAAAAATCTGTTTAAATTTAACTAAAAAAATCCAACATGATAATAATTCTGCTTGTTCAGCTGTTTATAATGAAAACAGCAGGAAACAGCGAGAGCTGACCTTCAAAGTAAAAACTTTTAAGCAGCATTAATAATTAATATTATGTGTTGTTTCTTTGTTAAATTTTAATTCATTGATCTGAGGAGACTCCTGTGGGTCCTGAGGTCAGGGCCCAGCAGTCACTGGGACGCCGGCTCACATATTTCACACCTTTTCACGCTTCCCACCAAATTAAAATGCTATGTTTAACACATGAAGCTTTACATGGACATGATAATAATAATATTTAAGTCCGGGGTGAGTGTGCCGGTGCACTGGTTTCCTCCTGCAGGCCACAGACTTGCATGTTGGGTTAATTAGTGGCTGTAAATTAGCTGCAGGTGTGACTCGTCTGTAATCTGAGGTCCAGCTCTGCTTTTACTTCACGTGTTTGTAGAATTGCTGTAACACGTTTCTGTAGCTGCGTTAACAATGAAGCCTCTGCAGCGCCGTCATTAGTCTGACTGACTGTGTCTGTCTCCTAATGTGTGGTTTGCCAATAAGACAGTTTTGGTGCATTGGTGAGGTTTGAAAGTTGAGTTTGGGGTTTAGAGATTTGAGTCACAGCAGTTGTGGAAAAACCATCAAAGCAGATAGAAACGAGGGATGGAAAGAGTTTGGGCGAGCGAGAAGGCGTCAGTTATTTCACATGAAATCAGAGCGCGATGGATCTGTACGAGAGGAGAAAGCATCAGGACAACTTAATGTTCCAGTCACTTGTCCTCGTTTGCTTTTTCCTCACACAGCATTCGTGCTTCTTATAATTATGATAGATGACACAAAAAAACAAGGTCATGGCTCCTCCCACCCGAACGCCTCACAATCTTTTTTTTTAGGTACATTAACTTGTTTTTTTAATGAAGCATTATTATTATTGTTTTAATGAAACATTGCTACACTTCACTTTCATACTGTGGATGTTTTCTGAGTTCCAGGCCCTGAAATCCACAGCCGGTGGGTTCAGATTTAAGCACTGAAAAAAAATTCCAGCATTTTTTAACAATGTCACAAATCCATCAGATGTTCACATGAAATGTTCAAAGCTGAGAAACACATTGAAGCTCTGTTTAAAAACTAAAGTGTTGGAGCCACAAGAGTCCAGAGCTACAGACGGTTTTCGCCGACAGGCCGTGAGCATCGGTATAAATAAACTGCAGTGGTTTGATATCTGTGACACAGAGGAGCAGAAACCAACATCAGTGTCCTAATGTTTGATCTGTTTCTGATAAATCACAGTGCATTCTGGGTAAACCTTCGAGGCTCGTATTAGCATGTGGAGCAGGTAGCAGTCAGATTAATCTGTATTTGACCCCACGATCGTCTTAATTACGTGATTACCTGATATGTATCGTTCTGTTTCTGGAATGAGGAGGCAGGACATGGATGCTGTTTTCACAGCTTTGAGGAAACACATTTAAGTTCTGAGTAAATGGACCCTGCAGCGCCGCGATAAAGACACAAACAAGAACTTGAACTTCTTTAAAACCTGCCGTGAGGAACAAATGTGACAGGCTGATATTGCTCTCACTTTACCTCTTTCAGTTCTCACTAACCTCAGTGAGGCTGTTATTAATGAGAAAGGCAGTAAAGAAAAGACAACACCTTTCTAAAAATGCAAACTAGGAACAAACAGGGTTTCATGTTTTTGCAGAACTGGCAGTTCTCCAAATATGAAATAATATCTGTGAAAGGCATTTTATCCTTTAAAGTCTGATCATTTCTTTAAAACTTTAAAATTAATTCTGTGCTGCATCTAAACAAACGTTTCTTTAGATGCAGCACAGTGAAAACAGACACACTAAAATCACAATGCAGTGAGACAGTAAAGTGTAGAGCATGCATACCTTGCAGAGCGTTCTCCCTGAGCCGATGTTTTTCTGACTCCTGACAGAGCGGCGGCTCTTTAACAGCTCCGCGCTCTGTGTGGGTAAGAAGACGGTGATGGCACCACAAAGAACAAAACCTCAAAGCAGGCGCAGTCAAAGCCACGTTCTCTCGGGCTCGATGACTGTAGAAAGCTCCTCTGATCTTCGCACTCACACGGAGCTTCCTTATCTGATGGTTTGATCAGCAAAGCCGTCACCAGCCGCGTGGGGACGTTCTCCCTACGCGATTTACCCGCCTCCGCAAAGGTCACGTCTGACACGAAGGATTTCTCTTTTTTGTGGGAAACTGTAACATTTGATTTGCTGGCTTTATTTAAAAATGCTAATCTGTTGCCTTAAAACAAACAAACAACAACTTTAGAGTTATGAGATACATTAGTTAAATAAACCCGGCCTAGATTTGGAAGGAGAACCCACAATATTTGCATTGTGTGTCATCCGTGTGCCCCATACACCGCACTGTTACAGTAACACCAGTGACAGTGGTTTGTTACAGTAATAGTAAAAATAAAGTACACCTTTCCTCTATTCTGAGGTCTTTACATATCATGAAATTCATCTTTTATCAAACACAGCAAGAACGATCTTCTTTGGACAGACGAGACCACCGTGCAGATGTTTGCAGCACCAGGCCTGGTGTGAGTCATAAATCCTGTGTACATCAAAGTAGTATTTACTCATCTGTGAGGTTGTCTGTTCCACAGCTATAACTGGGACCAAACTGGGACCAAACAATCAACAGAACAATGATCCCACACAGAGGAAATCTAAAAAGCATTTCTGGGATTTTTATTAGTTATTTATTAACAGCATTATCAGTGGAAAACAGGTAAATGTACAAATAAATACTGGATACCAAATCAAACATCCAGAAGAATCCAAGTTTCTTTCTTTCTGAATTTTTAATACAGTTTTACATAATATAACATGTTATACTTTATTTAATAAAATAAATTTCATTCAAAATAACAGTTAATAAGTAAATAAACTTCAAAACATTTGAAGTTTTTGCAGGAAGTTTGCCTCCATCTCTGTTGTTTTCTAACTTTGAACAGAAACTGATGATGTCAGACGTCAGCTGCAGGTTTTCTGTTTGAGAGCAAAGCTGAACTTTATTTCTCTGTATTTACGGGATAATATCTGAGACAACAATCAGAGATTGCTCCACAAAGCACCAAGTTCACCAAACTCTAACTTTTAACTCCGAGTTTCCAGTTTCACAGAAACGCATGTAGGTGACAGGACAGATTCACCGTGGCAACGGGTAAACAACGAGCAGAGCTTCAGGGAACTGAGGAAGATGAAGACGATCAATGTGGGGCATCATCATCACTCAGTCACCATCTGGCCAACTTGTAGATTATAGATAAAACTGCAGTTCTGCCAAATTTCACAATTGAGTTTTAAATCCAAAGATTCAGCTTCACAGAGATGAAGAGCAGGTGGAAAAAACTGGAGATAATAATACGAATCAAACAGATGAGGCCGAGTTTACCGACAGACCTGTGATATAAATGTCAGTCAGATATTCACAACATCACCTGTGATTATTTTCCATCCCTGTAACTGATCACAACCCAGTAAACGATTGATCACTGATCAGCGTGTGCTCCGTGTTTAGATTTCTCTGTGTGAATGTTCACTGCAGTGCGTCTCCTGTTTCCTCTCCTGCTGCTGTTTGTGGCTCCAAAACAAACTGACAGTATTTGGTAGTGAAATGGCGCCACCTCGTGTCTATGCGATGCAATTCACTGACGTCACAGACAGTTCAAGTTCATCCTTCCTGTCTTTGTTACAGGTGATGAGGCTGTCATCGAAGGACTCAGGATACATCTGATGGCTGCAGTCTGTTCTGTTATTTCCTAGATGCGTTAGTATTCTCCACCATTAATCCTTATTCTGTTTTGTGCATAACGTAAATCTACACCACAGAGTCAAGGTATCTAATATTGCATCCACCCTGCACCCTGTACATGCACACAGGTGGACGACGTCTTATGCAGAAGGTGCACTCTGAAACAGACAGGAGACTGTAAGGTGGAGTCAGGTGGAAACTGAAGAAGGAGGAGACAGCCTCTGCGTGGTGTAGAAGAGTACCAGATGACTGAAGTGCTGAGGTAAGTTATAAATGATATAGTGGCTGACCTACACACTAACACTGATGTTTATTTATCAATAACATTTTATTAATAATAAACAGGTGTGATGGTGATAAGTAATATAATTCATATCGTTATTATTTGTGTTGTAGTTTCTCACTTTGGCCACCAGAGGGCAGTGAACACTCATCACAATCCACAGTCAACAGCAAGTAAAAACATCAAAACAACCCCTGATTCTCACATTACATCAAACAGTCTGTTTAACTCAGTGTTTATGATGCTGGAAGCTATGATGTGAAAATATAATACAGCAAAACAACCAGTTTCATCACAATTTATTCAAACAACAAGACATGTTTGAGTAAAGGTAGAAACAGCTCAGATAAATTAAGTTCAGTGAAGTCCCTACAAATCAGAGAAAACCCCAAAAATCAGACATCACTCTATGACGAAAGACCTGGTGACAGAGGGAAGGAAAAACTGCCTTTAACAGGAAGGAGACCCAGGAAGTTCAGCCATCTGCCGCATCTAGTTGAAGGTGGGTCATCGTATCTCCTGATGTCCTGAGGAAGCACTTACACAAAGGAAAAAACATGACAATGACTCAGACTTCTACACTTTACACAGTTCATATCTGAATAATATGAGGATGTTTGTTTCTGAAAAGTTTGAGTGTGTGAAGCTGACCAGCTGTAAAAGGAGACTGGTTTACTGAGTTTCATGTGTAAATCCCAGTTTCACTGAGTTTCATTGCCTTTTCCTTTCACGCTCAGACCAGAGCCTTATTTAACACCTTCTGAGCGTCTTCAGCGAGCTGGTTGAGGATAAAGTTCAGAACTCTGTAGGTTGTGACGAAGGAGAGGCTCATGGCTACCGGGATTCCCACTATCGGAATGAATCTGGATACTTCCTCTGCTCCAATTAATCCAGCTGCTCCTCCAAGTTGGGCGAACACCTTCAGGAAGAGCTCTTTAGTAATTTCCTTCGCAGCCACTGGTGAAATGATGACATCACGCAGCTCAGTGTATGACACAGCTGTTCTGATAGCGAGTCTCTTCAGAGATTGGACATCGAGACCAAACGCATGTACAAAATGTGTGACAGCACCAATGAGCACAGCAACATCAACAGCAACAGAAAGCCCAGGAACGGGAACAGCTGCAGCGGCTGCAGACAGAGTGGCCAAGAGGTATAAGTGTACCTTTAAAGCTTTTTTCTTCTTGCTGATGACGTCGGGGTTGACGTTGGGCATGACATACAGCAGAGTGTCTCTCTTATCTTTGGGAAGCTCTGTCTCTAAGGTCTCTTGTAAGAGAGAGAAGTCGTACTTGTGGAGCTGAAAACTCGACATTAGGAAGACTCGTGGAGACTCGATGCCCAAGTCTTTGAGTCCTGCGTCACAGAGGAAACATGTCAACACCATCAGATTCATACAAATAAAAAACGATTAAAAACTAGATTTAAATGATTTTGAAAACTCGACCTCACTCACGTTGAACGCAGTCGTCTCTGATTTTTGTCAGAGTTTTCTCTTTGCTGGAGTCGGAAACACTTTCCTCGGCTCGGATATCGTTGTCAATCTTTGAGCGAACAAAGTAGAAATTTTTCTTCATCTTCTTAATCTTCTGAGCGAGTTTCACGTCATTTTCTCTGAAGCGAGTGTCTGAGATGATGAGGAAGAAGTCATACTTGTCAAACCCAACAAGCTTCAGGTATTTCCTTGCTGGGAAGTCTTTGGTTCCGATTCCAGGAAGATCCCATAAAGTGACGTTGGGATTATCTGGATGGGGGTACGGTGTGACCTCCGACGTCGTTTCTGTGACACCAGTAGGAGCAGCTCCCTCGTCTCTGTTCTTTATCCCCCTGAAGGCATTAATAAAGGTGGATTTACCTGCACCACTTTCTCCTGTGATGGCGATATTTAACGAGACATTGGTTTGCTTTTCTAAATATTCTTTAATCCTTTTTGCTGCTCCGGCCGTGTCGTTGTTCTTCAGGGCTTCTTTAATTCCAGGAATTTGTTCTGGGCACGAATCATCTGGATCCTCCATGCTCATCCTGACAGAAAGAAAAACATAAAGACTTTTATTCTGGAATGCAGACATATACTATTGATTATCAGTAATGTTACTGACGGCACACGGACACAGCACATGTGGGCAGTAAGTGATTAAAGGTAAAACGTTAAATGTCGGTAAAAGACGTGTTTATATGAGAAAACACTGAGGCCACCAAAGTCTCTTCCTGGGGTTTGTTGAGTATTTTTACATCCAACATTAACATTAATTTACAAATAATATCTTTCTATAAACCTGAAACTTTTCCTTGACTTGAAAAAATAATTTGTGCTTATTCTCATTCTTGTTCTGATAGGACAGCAAACCTGTCACTTAACTAAGTTTAAGGTAACATCAGGTACTCACTGGATTCTTCGTACTGTTGACACACACACAGCTGGATCAGCAACAACAGCGATCGGTGCTTCAGTTTGCTCTCACCTGGTTGTTATGGAGGTGCAGAAAAGGTGAGGGCAGAGCCACAGAGAGCGACCAATGAAAATGCTGCAACCTGAACCAACCAGTTTGTTTTTACTCTTTTTTTAACTGCAGGTGTTGTTGGAAACAGAGAGGAGGGCTGTGTGTTGATAACAAAGCTGCACCTGCAAGAGCAGCAAACATCATGGTTAATGAAGTGAACCACAGACACTGTTTGGACAATTAGAGTCTAATACTTAAAATCCACGAGCACCGCCTACAGCAGAGCTCAGCCAATAAGATCACTGTGTTTGCTGCTGTGATGGGCGATGAGTCAAAACCAAAGAATGTTCGTTTTGTTGTGTTTTAAGTTCGACTGGTTGTACCTGAGTTTGGGCGGAGGTTACACACACACACACGAAGCACAGGCTGAGGAGTGGCAGCATTCTTACACTCATCAATCACCCAAAAATGTAGACGTAGTTTTAATTCACTTGAAAGCCAGAAAACTAAAAAAACAGTTTTATTTGTTGTTATCGATCGTCCATCTGGGCCTTAGAGTTTCTGATTGACATACTTTTATCTCATTTAGTGCTCAGTTCTGATAAAAATAGTAATTGTAGATGATTTTAACATCCAGATGTTGAAAATCAGTTACAGTAGCCTTTACATTTAGAATAATGGATTACACATGACTGTCATCACAGTAGGTGTCTTTCTGAAAGTGCTGTAACTAAGTTTAAGGATCTGCTGTTAACAAAAGTCTCAAATGAGAAGTGGTCATGGGCCGGCTGAGTTATCTGGATTTTTCCATGGCGTCCCTGTGTTCCCGCCTCTGGGCGGAGCCCTCGTCACTACACCTGTTATACTCACCTGTGGGAGATCCAGGCCAATCTGCAGGCAGTATTTAAGACTAGAAGAGGAATCAATCTGTTTCACTGTCCCCATTTGCAGCTTCTCCATACCTCCATTAACCAACCTGTTCATCGAGCCCCCACTCCAAACATTCACTGCTGTGCCTTAGTTTTACTGTCACTGTTACACACTGAAGGAGGACGAGGTTCATCCAGGTGCACACTGAGCTTTATTGCTCTGAAACACAGCAAAACAGCAGTTCTGTGTTACTGACGGCTTCTGGTACCATAACTGGCCTGCGTTACTTTTGTAAGGGATTACTTGGCCAGTCACTTATTTGTCAGAGTGACTGTCTGCCACCTACTGGTTACTGAGTTAAAGCAGATGACTCGTAAGCTGGAGAGGAAATGGCGTGTCACAAATTTAGAGGATCATCATTTAGCCTGGAGAAATAATTTGTTGCTTTATAAGAAAGCCCTCCACAAAGCCAGAACATCTCACTACAACCCTAAGAACCCTAATAAATATACAGTTGGGGTATTTGTTGATTTAAAAATAGCTTTTGATACGTTACAACATTATATTTTGATTTCTAAATTGTATAATTATGGTGTGAGATGAGTGGCATTGAATTGGTTAAGGAGTTATTTAGAAAATAAGTTGCAATATGTACATTATCTCGGTAACACCTCTGAAAGATTGAAGATAGTATGTTGCGTTCTTCAAGGTTCTGTTTTGGGACCTAAACTTTTTAATTTATATATTAATGATATCTGTGACGTATCAAAAAGGTTAAATTCTATTTTATATGCAGATGCCACAAATTTTTATTGCTCTGGAGAGAATTTGAAAGATTTGGTTGAAATTATGACTTCTGTTAAGATTAAAAATATGGTTTGATGTAAATAAATTATCCTTGAATTTGACAAAAACGAAATTCATTATATTTGGCAGTCATGTAAAGGAGGATGAAGTTATTATGTCCATTGATGGAGAATTGATTGATAGAGTTACTGAATTTCGCTTTGTGGGTGTAATAGTAGATGAAAATTTTACGTGGAAATCACATATTGAGTATATTAGAAAGAAGATGGTTAAAAACATTTATATTTTGGGAAATGTAAGAGATTTATTAGACTATAAAACAATGCGCATTTTATATTTTTCATTGTTTTTCTCATATTTTAGTTACTGTGTGGAAGTTTGGGGGAATACATATGAGAATACTATAAAACCTCTAAACTTATTACAGAAGAAAGTGATACGAATGATTCATAATGTTAAATATAGAGAACATACAAATAAATTATTTATAACATCGAAATTATTAAAATTAGGAGATTTAGTGAAACTACGGACACTATTTATTATGTTTAAGGCTAAAAATAATATTTTGCCCTTTAAGTTACAAAGAGTATTTTTAATGTGTTCAGGGGGAGAAGATAGCAGAAGGAAATTTTATTTTAAGTATCAGCTAGCTAGGACAACACAAAGATTAATGAGTCCAACGGTTAGCGGTATACGACTGTGGAACTCTCTTCATTATAATTTAAAGAATTGTATAAATTTACATTGCTTTAAAAAGTGTTACATGCTTAAAACGATAACTCGATATGAATGAAATTGGAGTTCATTGAAAAAGGATCCATTATAATTTTTTGTTTTATTTGTTTTAATTTTATTTTTCTCCTTGTTACTATGTGGAGTGGTATATTCTGATTGTAAATTTGTTGTTTGGTTTGGGTTAGGACCGGAGATAAATGTTAATGTTAGTTTGTTCCCTGATTTTTGGTGCCCACTTGTAATATAAGTTGAATTGTAGATAGCGGGCAGGGTTTAATAAGAATATTTGCTTCTTCCTGCTCCTTTTACCATATGGTTGTAATGCTTTTTGATAGAAAGTGTGGTTGGTTTGTTTGAATTGTTGTACCAAGTGTGAAATAAATAAATGAAAATGAAAGGACAACCCCAGGTTTCTCTTCAGCTCTGTAACCAGGCTGACAAACAGTCAGAGCTCTGTTGAGCCAACCGTCCCTTTAAAACAGAGGTGGGGGAACTCCAGGCCTCAGGTCTCGAAGGTTTTAGATGTGTCCTTGATCCAACACAGCTGATTTAAATGGCTAAATTACCTCCTCAACATGTCTTAAAGTTCTCCAGAGGCCTGGTAATAAACTAATCATTTGATTCAGGTGTGCTGACCCAGGGCGTGTTATCTAAAACCTGCAGCACACCGGGCCTTGGTACCTCGAGTTCCCCAACCCTGCTTTGACTAGTAATGATTTCATGAACTTCTTTACAAATAAAATGTAA